TAAATGTGTTGGCCCTGGTGTCTTGGCATCGGAGTGTTGGCTTCTCCCTGTCTAAATTAGCAAAGACAGAACTGGAGAGTCTTGAAGGAGGCGGCCTGTTGAATATCTTCCACCCGTCCTTTTCTTTAGGGCCCTCTGCAGGCCAGACCCAGCCCCCGCCAGGGGAGCACAGCACAGTGCAGGAAGGGCCCTATAGCCAGCCAGGCCTCTCCTCTGCTGAAGGAGCCTTATCTCAGAGCTGCACACAGTGCACAAGGCGCATCCTTTTCCTGGGGTTCTGCTCTGAGAGGAGGAGGAGTGGACATGGTGACTGAGATCACACCTATATCCAGCCATTTCCCAGCCCTCTGTGCTATACCAGGGGAGTAACTATTTTGGGAATTTTGTCAACCATAAACAAATGTTTAGGCTGAATGACCTTGAACAACACTACTATTAACAGTGTTATGTTTTACTGTTTGTATTAGTTTACACTTACTCTTCATCAATTATTACTCTTTGCATCTAGGCATAATCTTGACACGTGAGAAGTATCTATGACTGGTTATTGTTGAGTTTTGCATATTGGTAAGTACCTCAATACATATACATACCTACTATTTGATAAATATATTTCCAAGCGATTGAAGACATCAGTTAATGAAGGCTTTTGGTCCCTTACCTAAATTTATCTCCATTTATTGAAGATAATCTGTTGAAAAATCTTATCCAGCTTCTATTTGGCATGTGTGGGCCTCTATTAGCCTAGCTAACACCAGCCTAAATATCAAGTGAATATTTAGTTTGGGAACCTTCCATTTTTTTGTCTGAGATGTGTGTTTGCGATTGTCCAAAGCCAGTGATGGAGCGTCAGCACAAATAGGCGTCAGCACATTGAACCTTTCAACATTTCGCCACATTTCAGGCTGCAAACATAAAGATATAACATTTAAATTTTTTGTCATGAATCAACAAGTGGGACACAATCGTGAAGTGGAACAAAATGTATTGGATAATTTAAACTTTTTTAACAAATAAAAAACTGAAAAGTGGGGCGTGCAATATTATTCGGCCCCTTTACTTTCAGTGCAGCAAACTCAGTCCAGAAGTTCAGTGAGGATCTTTGAATGATCCAATGTTGTCCTAAATGACTGATGATGATAAATAGAATGCTCCTGTGTGTAATCAAGTCTCCGTATAAATGCACCTGCTCTTTGATAGTCTCAGGGTTCTGTTTAAAGCGCAGAGAGAACCATGAAGACAAAGGAACACACCAGGCAGGTCCGAGATACTGTTCTGATCTGGATACAAAAAGATTTCCCAAGCTTTAAACATCTCAAGGAGAGGCCCATGATCACTCTGGATGAACTGCAGATAACTTCAGCTGAGGTGGGAGAGTCTGTCCATAGGACAACAATCAGTCGTGCACTGCACAAATCTGGCCTTTATGGAAGAGTGGCAAGAAGAAAGCCATTTCTCAAAGATATCCATAATAAGTCTCATTTAAAGTTTGCCACAAGCCACCTGGGAGACACACCAAACATGTGGAAGAAGCTGCTCTGGTCGGACGAAACCAAAATCAAACTTTTTGACCACAATGCAAAACAATATGTTTGGCGTAAAAGCAACACAGCTCATCACCCTGAACACACCATCCCCACTGTCAAACATGGTGGTGGCAGCATCATGGTTTGGGCCTGCTTTTCTTCAGCAGGGACAGGGAAGATGGCTAAAATTGATGGGAAGATGGATGGAGCCAAATACAGGACCATTCTGGAAGAAAACCTGTTGGAGTCTGCAAAAGACCTGAGACTGGGACGGAGATTTATCTTCCAACAGGACAATGATCCAAAACATAAAGCCAAATCTACAATGGAATGGTTCACAAATAGACGTATCCAGGTGTTAGAATGGCCAAGTCAAAGTCCAGACCTGAATCCAATCGAGAATCTGTGGAAAGAGCTGAAGACTGCTGTTCACAAACGCTCTCCATCCAACTTCACTGAGCTCCAGCTGTTTTGCAAGGAAGAATGGGAAAGAATTCCAGTCTCTCGATGTGCAAAACTGATAGAGACATGCCTCAAGCGACTTGCAGCTGTAATTGCAGCAAAAGGTGGTGCTACAAAGTATTAGCGCAAGGGGGCCGAATAATATTGCACGCCCAACTTTTCAGTTTTTTATTTGTTAAAGTTTAAATTATCCAATAAATTTCGTTCCACTTCACGATTGTGTCCCACTTGTTGCTGATTCTTGACAAAAAAATATTTTTTTATATCTTTATGTTTGAAGCCTGAAATGTGGCAAAATGTTGAAAGGTTCAAGGGGGGGGGCGAATACTTTTGCAAGGCACTGTAGCAACCACTGCTAGTTGTATGTGTTTGTCCTCCTGGCCTCTGTGGAAGATGCAAGACTTGTAAGAAAAAAGCATTTTGACTGAGTGCTGCATCACTGCATGGCAGAAATGTGTGTATCTTTTTGGAGTACTGAGCGCCTGGTTGGTGCACGTCTGTGTCCTGGAGCCGTTTATGCCCGGGCGGCGGTTGAAGCCAGTCAAATGACGTTTGCAAACATAAATAATGCTCTGTGCGTTCTGACCGCGCATCCTCAGAAGAACAGAAAGCTCCCATGAGTGTGTGCCCGGTCAAAGTAGATGGTAATAAATTAAGTGTGAGCGTTTCTGACAAATATGAGCGCTGAGAAGTTATTTGTGACATTTATAATGTGCCACACAAGATTGATGATGATAAAAATACATTTTATTTATATAGCACCTTACATTTCCAGGAAACCTCAAAGTGCGATTGATTAGCCTATTTTAGACAATCCAAATAATTTGTTTACTTAATAAACGTTAATAAAAATAATAATTGTATAAGCTTTTTGCTTCATGCAAAACCATATCAACGGAAAAATGGACGATTGTGATTAATTTGGCGTTAACTAATGATTTAAATATTGTAATCATTTGACAGCACTAATAAATATTATAAACATAAATAATTATTACTAAATGCAAAAATCAAAGATATGTGCATACCCCAGTAGTAGTATTTGGAAACATCAACTATGGATGTTTCTCTGGAGCTTGTTGACCAAAGGCTCCAAGTCCATCTGTGGAGCAGATCCACACTATATGTTGGGTTTGTGCTCAGCGCAGCACTTTGCGCTCCTGGATCAGTTTAATGGAGGTCCCCAGGCAGGTGGGCCTGCACAGGGCTCCTGATGACGACTTTTCTGTCACGTTTTAACTCTCACTCATTCACTCTGCTTCTCTAGAGAGTAATTTCACAGACAGAGCTAAAGTGGCCCCCAGCCATCTCTCCAAATCCCAGGTACAAGTTGTTTGGCACTGTCAGCTCTGAGCCCTTGCCCCTCTCGCAGGCAGAGGATACCATTGTGCAGTAACAGGAAGTATAGATTTTCTTTGGGAAGTTGGGAAGTTTTTTATATAATTGATGTACACCTGAAGACCACGTAGTCCTTGTTACAAGTTGGTATATTTTAGAATGTTATTCATTTTAATTTACACCTTTTTTACCAAAAAGCTAAATGCACAGCAGAAGTGCAAAAAGCATGAAGCTTGAGAGAGAGAAAAAATTGATACATTTGACCAAAGCAGACTAAAAACAATAGCGCATTTCCTTATATGGATATTGAAGAAAACCCTCTTTAGTGTGATAAGACTAATGTAGTATTTCACTTAACTCCCCTGAGGCATTGATTGAAGCATGCCCATTCTTTATTTTGCTTGAAAAAGTTGTAATAGTGAAAAATGTGAGGTTTGTGGATAATGTGTGACCAGCACACACCTATCCTGTATTGTTTTAATCGCCCATCGGTTAACCTGTCCAGCTCAATGATTCTTGAGTGCTGTAATGTGAATGTAAAAGCTTAAAGGCCAAAGCACAAAGTGACTTGACACCAAATCATGTTTTCAATTTATCTCTAATCTGTAGTGTTTGAAAAATGCTATCCACAGAGGTAATACTCAGAGCGGTATTGTGCAAATCTCCGGAGGAGGATTCGTATTCTTCTGGCCAAATCATTATGCATTGAGTAGACCATTAGGAAAATGAAGACGAATGATGCACAGATACAAAGTGACAAATGCTCATGGTATAGTTAAAATGTAGATGTTAGGGCCTACTGGAGTAAAGTCTTCGCCTAAATCATGATTCCCCAACTTGTCTCTCTTTTTCCTCTTTTGGCCGCGGAAAAAATTGCTATTTTTTATTTATATTTCTTTGGTGTATGTCCATCTAAATAAATTGATCTCTATAGATCTATATGTATAGATATATATCTATAAGCCTCACAGCTCTGTCGTTTGCATGTGATGCAGTGTTTTCTGCTTTTTTCCATCAATACTTCCTTTCTTGTTTCTCACAAAAATCACAATATAACGTATCGGCGATAGAAACTGACAGATCGTATTAGAAACGTGTGGACTGACACCATGTGGAAGAAGTCTCACTAGGGGGATGTTAGACACAAAGCGGGGAAACGAGAAGGAAACAAGCTACAGGTGGCTTCATTGCGGGGGATTAAAATGCGCACAGGTGGAAAGAAGGGTGTGCACACAGGGACATAGGAACTGATCATTACATGTCTGTTTTACTGCATTTAACCACAATGTACAATGTTCCACAATCAGCCCCGTCTCCTGTCAGAGTTGAATCATGTCATATGATACTAGTGTCAGTTGTCAATACTTGTTTTTATTTTCCATCTTGTAGTGTAGGAATGTGCAGAGTGTTGCAAATGGCATACTTGGTTCTAAATAAATATACACCAAAATGTAAATAAAATCTGTCCATTATCTTGAAGATGAAATAACAAGCTTATTTTGGTATGATCCTTCAACAACACCTATTGTTTTGTTTAAAAAAAACAAAAAAAATGAAAATCTGCCCATTTTACTTTGGTTAATCTTCCAGTGACGACAGGCGGCACTCGTCCTCCCACATCAGCCATTGTGTGGTGTTTATTTCTAAATGAATCCTTCTGTGTGTTTTGTCCAGGAGAGCAACAGCAGCGATTCTCAAGAAAAAGAGGAGGCCACCGTCATAGCGCCGACTGAGCTGGATACGGAGACCATCACGAACACCGTGACCAGCGCTCTCAGCATGCAGGAATACTTTGCACAGAGAATGGCCCGAGTCAAACAGGCCAAAGGACAGGCCCCCAGCCCAGACCAAAGTGAGAGGTCTGCCCCGCACAGCCCCACGCAAGACTGTGGCACGGAGCGGCCCAAGAAGAAAAAGAAAAAGGATAAAAGTGCAGCGGAGGAAGCCGAAGTGTCTGAGGTGTGCAAAGTGGAACACATAGAACCACAACATACAAAAGCAGAAAAGAAAAAAAAGCGAAAAATGCGAGAGAAAGAGCAACCTGAGGCGCAAGAAGAGGAAAAACCCCCATCCAAAAAGAAAAAGAGTAAGAAACATAAGAAAGACACGGAGCAAAGCAATGAACTTTTTATTACTGAAGACGATGACGTGCTAATAGAGGTTGACGACGCCAACGAGGACGATGACGACAAGATAGAAATTGTGGAAAAATCCAAGGACAAAAAGAAAAAGGAGAAACGATGTGAGATAATAGAAATAGATTGATATTTTTTTGTCAACCTTTTTTAAGGATATTCAATTTATTATATAGCAAAAATGTTTACCTTGAATAAAACGTTTAAGATTACGTTCAGAATGGACCTGGTCAAAAGCGGATTATGAATTTATTGGATTGAATTTGATGAATTTCCCTAATATACAGAGAATTACAGAAATTTTCAAATGTCACAATTTTGATTGGTGTAGTACATTTTACCACTTGCAAATGTCTGATCATTTATCAAAGACGAAATAAACAACTAATGGTCTGAAACACTGGTTTTCATCCTTACTTTTGAGAAGGTCAGAAAAAAGGCTAAACGTGTGTCATTGTTGGTATATACAAAGGCATGTCTTACAAAACCATGTCTTTTGATTTGACAGATGAGCTCAAGTTTAGTGACTCAAACAAGGAAACAGACAGTCTGATATTGCACACCGAAAACAAGTCTCTTATGATACACACTGAATATTCACCTGTTTTATCTGTGTTTGGTAGGAACTCATTTATACATTCGTCGTAGTCCCTTAACACACGTACAATATCCTGCCCACGCAAAGTTGAGGGTCTCAGCACCTCGGCACAAACGCACACTTTCACTGGTCATGCAGCGACGAGTCAGTGTTTAAACAGCTACGGGAAGTGTGGCCCAATATATCACTGGAGTGCTTGCCCCATGCACAATCTGTGGCTTCAGGTGCCGTATCCTGTTCCTGTGTAGACCAGGCCTCATATTTGAACCCTACTCTTATGTTTACAGCAGTCTTATTCGATATCACTGAGCTGCTGCCGCTTCTGTGTTGACAAGTTTAGGTTGAGCTGGAGCGCTGACTGGGTTGTCGTCTGAGTATGTGTTTTGGGTTTCTCTGTGGGTCGCTGCTGTCAACAGGAACTACTGGACTTGCTGTGAACACCCTTGAGCCAGTGAAGGAAACTGATTTGTGTGTAGTGTCTTATCTGCTGTCACCCACACATGTGCTCACAAGTTCCACACTCTGAGGAGCCTGAACGGTTGAACTGAAATGACCAAATTATACAACATTTAAACATTAAATTTAAAAAAACTGTTTTTATTATTTCTTTATGGAGATATCTGTTTTGAAAAGTTCACTTCAATATGTGGATCATTATGTGCACCACAAGTTCAGGGTAAATAGTCTTTATTTATATAGTGCCTTTCATAGACCAGAGTCACTGTGCTTTACAATTGTTGAGGCTCATTCCACCTTTTTGTAGTCGTTTTTACTTGTAAGGGAAACCGGAGCACTCGGAGGAAACCCACAGAGCGCACATGCAAAATTCACTCAGGAAAGCCCCTACCAAGATTCGAACCCAGAATCTTAATACTGAGAATTGTAAGCGCAATCCACTCAGATACCGTCACGCGTACAACGGTTGAACTAGTTAGACAAGAAACGTGTTTTCATAAAAGAAATACCTGAATTGCAAAATCTCTGTGTCATAAGTTTAAAAAAATATGCCTGCCCTTTAAATTGTTTTTATGGATAAGTAAGTTTTGGGTGGGTTAGTTGTTCCACAGGTTAGAGTTGTAAGCAGTGTTGAAATCTGCCTCTCCGTGGGGCTCGACTTGCATCAAGGAGGAGCGAGCGTCCTGCGGGGTTTCTCCTGGAAGCTGCTCCTCAAATATAAACTCCCCCTCACAGAGAAACACTGAGAGCAGAGCAGCGGCGCACAGCACATGTCTGTTTGTGTGTCACCTCTACATCACTTCCACTGTCCTGACTGGCTGCGTGAGCTTTAACTTTTACTGAGAAAACTTCCAGTCAGTGTCGTGCGTAAAGTTTGGAGCAGAGCGCGCGCACATGGCTGCCCTCATCAGCGCGTACTCGTCGTGGCCGGAGTCCTTCGAGTGTCCCGCAGATGGAGATGGATCTGAAGCACACGGGCCTCACAGGAGCTCCGCGGACAAGGCTCCAGAGCCGCGGATCCGACGTCCCATGAACGCGTTTATGGTTTGGGCCAAAGACGAGCGCAAACGACTGGCTGTCCAAAACCCAGATTTGCACAACGCCGAACTCAGCAAAATGCTTGGTAAGACAACAACTAACAATGTATTGCACATTATGTAGAACTATTCTAATTATTACACGAGTAATAAAATAAATAATATAGGCAGATTTAAAATGCTTTGTCGGAGGCCATAAATATTGCCAACTTTTAACATGGAAATATAAAACTATGTTATTAGATTGTATGGGTCTTATCTTTTGCTTAAATAATTTTATACATTTCATAACAAACTCTTGTTGTATTAACAATTAATGATTGTAAGTGTTTTGCCTATTAGAAAAGTAATAATGCCAACTTGTACAATAAATTAACTTTCTCTCTTTTTAATTACTTGTATAATGAGCCTTTAATAATATTCGGTAAAACCCTTTTTTTTGAACATGAAGGTAAATCGTGGAAGGCCCTGACCCCCCCTCAGAAGAGGCCCTATGTGGAGGAAGCAGAGCGGCTCCGTGTGCAGCACATGCAGGACTATCCCAACTACAAGTACCGTCCTCGCAGGAAGAAGCAGCTCAAGCGCATATGTAAACGGGTAGACCCAGGCTTCCTGCTAACCAGCCTGGGTCCAGACCAGAGCTCTCTGGTGGAGCAGCGAGTCCTGTGCCACCCTTGCGACAAAGACAACGGCCCCAGGGGCTTCTCTGGACCAGGTCCGGTCCTGCCTGGGGTTCGGACATTCAGAGACCCAACCACTTCTAGCAACAGCAGCTTTGACACTTATCCTTACGGTCTTCCCACTCCCCCGGAGATGTCCCCTTTAGACGCAATGGACCATGAGCATGTACCCGCCGCATACTACCCCTCAACTAGCTCCTGCTCGTCTTCCTCAGCTTCCTGTCCAGAGGAGCATCAGCATCACATGGGCAGTCCACCCCAGTACCACCATGACTTCTCCCAGTCTCAGATTCACTGTGGGCATGTGCCACACCTGTCTCAAACTGGCGCTAACACTGGACTCATGAGCGCCCCTCCAATTTCCTACTTCAGCGCATCTTCTTTCCCTCAAGTCCATCACAGTGTCCACCCAGGACAGCTTGGACAGTTGTCTCCTCCCCCAGAGACACAGGGACACTTGGAGACGCTGGACCAGTTGAGCCAAGCAGAGCTCCTGAGTGAGGTGGACCGGAATGAGTTCGACCAGTATCTGAACTCCACCGGTTCTGGTTTCCATGCCGACGGGAGCAGCACTATGACTGTCACGGGACATATTCAAGTGGCATCAGCTTCCAGCACCGGCCCCAGCAGCTCCTCAGAAACCAGTCTGATCTCTGTGTTAGCGGACGCCACTGCGGCATACTACAACAACTATGGCATCTCATAAGCTCCACTGGTCTATCAGGACAAGAAGACTATGTAGTCATTTCATTTTGTAGCATTTTGAACAAAACAAAACACAGAACAAAGAATGTTCATGGAAGCACTGGAGGGTTGTGAAGGAAAAGGACACTGTTGCCTCAGGGATGCAAACACTTGAGTGTCACCTCCAGCTGTCCGAGGAACAAAGACTTATGCCCTTGTAAATGTCTCACTTACTGTTGCCTCCTCGGCATGTACATAGAATGGATCCCACAAAAGTTAATTTAACTACTTAGATGTTTTTAATGCTAACTGTAACACTGACTGATACATTCATTCCAATGTTTATGACATTTGCTCCCCGCCTCTTGGTGGTCCAGCGACCTCGGTTGCTGTAAAATGGGAGAGGTTTTGTTTTTGGATTTTTTTATATGAAATTTGAAATTGTGTGTTTAAACAACTTCACAAGTACATTATATATAGCCTCTAAATGGAAAATAATAATTGCAAATTTAGAGTAAGCTGATCTAGGTTTGTGAAAGACACTAATTTAAAAATAAAGTTCATTTTTACATAAACACATCTGATCTATGTTGGCCATGTCCATTCTCAATTTACTCATAGCTTTGTCGACCCTTTCTTTTCACACTTTTCATCCAAATTATGTGAACAGGAGAAGTAAAGTATTACAACGTATTTCTTAGCGCTAGTAATGGTGCTACTCTCAGACCTGGCGACATGACTCCTTTCACCCTAGACTTAACATAATCCTGGTTGAACAAAACCAAACGACATGTAATTAGCCAACCTGTGGAATTTACACTTTCACTTCTGACACAAAAACTCACTTTGTCCATGTTTAAAATCTGAGCTTGTGACAAATCCAGGAGTTAAGCTGATCTTCCTGCATTTTTTGGGAATGGTTGAGTCGTGCTTCTTGTAAAGAGGATGCGGCGGAGGAGCTGTGTTTCCTGACTGATAAGCAGCAGCAGCTCTCCGTCAGGATGTTTGGGCCTGGCTGGGACCTGCTTTAAAGAGCTGCAGTGAAGGGAAGGGAACGGGCCGCTCAGCTCACAGCAGGAAACTCTGCGCGCCTGATTAACATCTGACTTCACCGGCATTTTTAAAAAGGGTCTTCAACAACCTGTCCACCAGTATATATAATTCCACATCAGGCCAAACACATACATCCATTTGGTGCTAGTCGTTGACCACATATAGACAACGCATTCATCATACGGCAAGGAAATACGGTGCTCATTTTGTCAGGGTTACCCCATTACCCTCCTTGTCTGTGGGGGTTCAAAACTCAACGGAGGGTCCTTTTTAAGGGCAACCATATTTTGGATGTCAGGACTAAACAGGTGCGGCCCCGGGCATATAGCTTTGAGTTGCTGTTTTGGCCCCTGAGTTGTTGGGGTCAGCACCATGTTTTTCCTGTAGACTCCCCAGATAAAGACTTGATGCAATGTCTCAACAATCACCTCGGGGTAGGACATTATAACATATGAGAAAGGGCAATCATCAGAAAAGCTAGATAAAATCCAATTATTTTATATAAAACTAGTGAAAGCCGAGAAACATATACAATAAACAATACACTTCAAGCTATACATGATCCCAATTACATTAAAAATTGTCAAATCTGTCTAAATCTTGCATATACTTTCACTGGCTATTTCCTGAGAGGTCATAAAGATGATTGTTTTTCTCCAGGAAGTGAGAAAACGCATACATTCCGTCACCACTGACATCAGCGATGCTTTAGCGGCTATAGCTTGTGCTTTGTTGGAGAATTCTTATAGACTTTTAAAGCAACCTATCTTCACAGGCTTTTAGGAAGTCTTTGATTTTCATAAAAGCTGTTCACAATTTCCAGATCTCAGGATTTAGTATATTTGCTAATTAAGGACATGGGCTGAACAAACAAAAGCCGTGTGTCTCTCTGATTGCTGTCTGGCTGTGTTCCAGTCTCAGGTCAGACCCATGGAATGAGTTTGTCAGGTAGTAGTCTGTTATGTTTCCTATTTCCTCCTCTAAAGTCATGTCACTTCCCTGTGCAAACAAACCTCAGCGCACATCTAACTCAACACTTACAAGGTAACACTGCGTCGCTCTTCATGCGTGATTGAGTCCGCGCCTACACAGCTGCATAAAGCATTATATCCCTGAGCGAGGGCCGGTGGCTGGAGGAGGCGGACTGTCTGGTTAGTCCGGTGTCTATTGTGTGTTTAGCAAGCCCGCATCCAGCTACCTATGGTGATGGTGACACTGTTGCCATGATGTTCTTTAGCTTCAGGTTGAGGGGAAGTGAATGGTGTATATTACGTCACTAAGGAGTGCCGGGACTATGAATGCCCTTTAAATCTCAACATCAGGCTTTGTTTATCTTAGCTGGAAATGTTTACCTGGCGATTTTTTTCTTCATTTCAGAATATGAAATCAAAAATAAACAACTAATTCATACATGTTTTAAAATGTATATACAGCAGTGGTTAATTTCAAACAGTTGTTCTCCTCCAAAATCTGCAACACGTTTTAGTATTGTAGGAAAAAAAATCAGGCTTCTTTCAACTATGGTGAAAAGCAAATTGTAAGTCATTCACATATTTTTCTAATCAAACCAATCTTTAGATCAAAAGGGAACTTATTTTGTGGGTGGGAAAAAATAAAATAAAGCTGGATTATCTATCTTTGATACCACACAAGTATTAACAATTTGTACCCAGAAATATTAAAATGCCATCCATCCATCCATCCATTTTCTTCCGCTTCATCCGTTGCCGGGTCGCGGGGGCAGCAGTCTAAGCAGATATTACAATGTTTTCCCAAAAACAAATCAGTTCTATCTCTACACTACATGCAATGGGGTTTTGGCCCCTTTCACTTGATCAGATTTTTCAGGCCAAGCCTCACTAAGCCAATCAGCTCTCAGCATGTAATGTATACATTTTCTAATAAGATGAAGACAGAATATTGTCTGATGTCTTCAAAAAAACTATAACTCTAATTTTTGTTGGGACAATCAAAATGTATTTATGACACATAACAAGTTAGTTTTTCCCAGCTCTGAATTAGCAACAGGATATACAGTACAGTTTAATTCTAAATATTTTAATTCTTAGTATTGCTTAGTATCCACCAATTCAAATGAGTCCAATCTCAGAACAAATGTGCAAAGAAAAAAAATGTTTTCCCTGAGAGCATTTCTACTTGGAGTGCGTCGCCATGCGCCGCATAATAACCTGTTTACAATTTGTTCTTGGCCTCAAATCTGGCCAAAGGAGAAACACGCACACAAGCATCTCACAGCAAGGGATTATGGGTGCAGTTATTCTTCATCTCATTGTGGCTCAACAACAGGCGGTGCGCGGGGTGGCAGCAGGCGAGTACGGGCCGCACAAAGAATGGAGCAGACTCGCGGAGGGACAGGTGCCATGTGGCAGAGGACGGGCCGGCTGCAGATGGGGACCCCTGGAACACTTAGGGGAAGCGTGGCCGCGGCCAAGGGCGTCCCAGTCGAACCTGCGCACTGCTCTGAATGCTGCAGAGAACCCGCGTCGGCTCCTGTTCTGAGCTGATACAGGGAGCGGAGGCGCGGGGGCAGGCCAGCGTGGGACTGCCAACGCGCACAAGGAGACGGCGAGCTCCATCGCTGTAGAATGTCGGGAAAATGATGCACCTTCAGGATTATAGGCTCTCAGATTATCTCAACAATAGAAGTGCGATTCAGACTATATGACAGGTTTTTGTTTTGTTTAAAAAATATATATAGTTAATTTATTCAATTCAATTTATTCTTGTACAGCCCTAAATCACAACAGTAGTAATCTCAGAGGACTTAACAAAAATGCTGAAATCGTCAACACAGATCAGAGAATCAAACGGTTCAAACACAAAAGAAAAGATTGTATTGGTCCATAGAGAGAGTTGACCAATGTCCATGAGTTTTGATAAATGTCCATAAATGTTGTAAAATATAGTGTCCTGTATCATCACCACAGTCCTACAGTCTACAGACCCTCCTGCATTGGCAAGAACAAACTCTAAAACCTAGAAAACCATAATGTATATATGTTTTTATTTTGGCGGAATGACATCAAATTAAAATTATAAATAATATTGTGTTGGTGAAATTTTAAAATATGTTGAAATGTACAGGAAGTAGAGCAGAGTTTTAGAACAGATGACACCTTGTGCGGAAAGGATTATTGTGTATCACTCTTCATTCACTGAAGGAACTTTCTGAGAATCGTAGGGGTTTTTGCCAGTTTAGCACATTATTGACAGCACACATTCCTATAGCGTGATGTCATTACAATAGTCACAACCAGGAAGTAAATTATGAATCCAAAACAATGATTAAACAGTCTATGGGTTAAACTAAGATTAGATACTTAAAAGCTTTGGCAACATTTTAAGGTGATGATGTTATGTTTTGTGGAAAGTCAAGTCCACTCTGTCAAAGTATAAGCACTTTAAAGACACAACCACTAGATCTAAAAACACTTCGGCCAACACGAGTTTAAAGAAAACCATTAAGATTACGATACATTTTTTGTTGTAGCTAGAATAATGTTCAAAGTGCACTTTCAGGCAAAGTCAAATAGGATTTCATTATTTGACCTTCAGCAGATGTTCAGTATTCGGAACACACAATAAAACAGATGGAGACAAAGTTAGGCCTGGCTCAGTAAGATTTGGGTTCCTCTCAGTACAGGTTTTGAGGAGACTGTAGCACCTCCCAGACGGCCTCACTAACTTCAGATAAATACTACTCCTTATTTAGGATCTTGTGAACCATTTTTTTTTTGACATTTGCAGTCCTCCTTGTACTGTATGTCAAAGCATGTTTCCGAGCTCTAAATACAAAAATGCAATCTAAATATTTACAGTCTTCTTTGCAATTAGCTGATTGCAGGCAATAATATTCCAATTGTAATTATTTATGCCCTGGTTTCTATGCTCCTCTATGAAATCCATTAGTCCCATCATGTCAATACTGCAAATGTGTGACCCTGTATTCCATTGTTGTGTACCTGACAATGACACATAAACGTCTATTCTATAAAAGAATATCCGTGTTAGTAATGTAATAATAGTATTTCAGTGTGTACTACAAAAAAAAAGTTTTAACAAATATATGAATTTAAATGTGCATGTACATACAAGTGTAAAATAGAGACAGTATCAAGATTAAAGTAAAGTTCTGTGCAAGTAACTGATTTTCTAACTGTAATGTATTCAAACCATATTCTTATACTTTGTAATACAATTGTCAATGTTTCCTTTCTGGTTTTGCATATACATTGTGCTATACAAAAACATTGCCTTACCTGTATGTGAACGGATTGATCTAAAACTGCGTTGGATCTAAAAAGGCCAATTAAAAGTTCATGTATTTCCAGTGCTTTTTCTCTAGATATAGTATGTGCAAAACTATGGGTCTATTTCTAACATTGCAAACATGAATGCTTATATTAGAGTCAAACCAATTTCAAGACTGTCAAAAATAGTCACACACTTGATTACCGGGCTGTGTAATTCATGTATTTTCTGTTTTTGAGTGGACACTTGGAGCGGCCTGGACCGGTGTCTTGTGTGTGGAGCGTTTGCATGGCGCGCTGATGTCTGCTTTGTTTTAGGCAGCAGCACAATGTCCCGTGGGTGATGTAACTCTTCACCTCAGTGTGGAGGTGGATGTTCCTATTGTGCTTCCTAATTGCAATGAGGTTGTTCCAGTTCGGAGACAGCACATTCGTATCTGCTACGACCCTGTCTCCTCCTGATTCTGTTAATTACCATCTTATATTCTATTTTTGTTGGAATACCATTTACCATGTGTTTCATTTTGTGTTTGTTTATCGCCTGGATCGATTTGTGCATGTTGTGTGTTTGTGTTGTGAAAATCATTTTACAAAACAAAAACAGTGATAAATAAATGATTGATTATTATGTTAATTTTGTTTAATCAATTAAATGACTAGACTGTCATTTTTTAGCAGATTTTTTTTATTTTTATATTGTTCGCTAAAAAATGCATGGCAAAGAAATATATGAATAAACACATGATCAACTCTTATTTTCTCAACATGTGTTTTAAATGTATAGCTACATTTGTACGAGACAAGGTTTATTTGTAAACCACAGTAAACTCAGTGCTCAACAAAACAAGATATAAAACCACAGCCTGTCTCACGTTTTCAGGAAGACTGTTCCAGATGTTAGATGCATAAATCTGAAACGCTTCCTCCCATGTTTAGTCCTGACTCTGGGCACCAGCAGGAGGCCAGTCCCTGTGCTCCTCAGAGTCCGAGTTGGTTCCAAGTTTATTTTGAACCACAATGCCAAAGAAAAATCATACTGTTTTCACTAGTAAAACAGTAAAAAAAATAATAATCTGAAATTACAATAAATGGTTGGTAATTACCGTACTAGGTCAAGTACAGTAAGAATAATGACAATATCTGGCGGCAGATAGACTATTACTGTGACAGGTTGCAGTTGTGCCCACGTGCTTCTGAGCAGGACCTCTTTAGTGCTGTCGGCACAGTTTACTCACTGTGCATCCTGAGCAGCAGACGCTCTAATGATTCAGTTGAGTGATGATATAAGTTTAGTGGAGTGAGAGAGCCCCTTTTAACAGCTATTGCACAAAGTAGACAAAGCAAAGCAACCGATGTCAAGTGGCAGCTTCACAGACTTTCTATTACTCCTTTAGGGCAACAAATTCATTTAGTAACTATTTTTAGTCATGAATTCTCCTGATGTGTTTAGTTTTCTTTATAACTGACGGTGAAGGAGCATATTTCATCCTATTAAAGATTTAGACTGCTGTTTCATACACATGTAGGGCTGAATAATTCATCACAAACAAATCGAAGATGCAATTATTGTGGTTGCAATTAGCAAATCTGCAGACTGGTGTTATCTAAGTTGTTTGCAAACAAAAATGGGACTAAAAGTATGCCCTTTATTTCTAATCATTGTTCTGATTTAAGATTATTTTGAAAATTTATATATTTTGTCCTGTCATCGGGTAGAAGTATAATTTCTCTTCCAAATGAGACGTCTAATTTTTTTCATAGATATATTAACTGTCTCAATGTGCACAACTCACATCTGACTCTAACTAGTCATTCGTCTATTTTTGCAGTATTTAATTTCTTTGTAGGAAAAAAATGTACTACAGGTTAGAACTATTTAAAAAGTCCGTATGAAGTCACTGCTTCGGACGCCTTTTCAGTTGTATCTCTGAAGGGCATATTTTTTACTCTGAACCAAAATAAACATACAAACATTGAAATTCCACAGTATTGGTCAGAAATGTTACAAATTGATTCTTCAGTGTGATCCAACTTTTGACCATTATGGATTTTCAGGACTTGGTACTGCAAATTCCTAAATGTTTTTCACAAGAAAAATCTGCCGATGACGTTCACAAAGCAGAGGTCGTAAAGGAACTGGACACGTCAGCAGTGACTCTGTATTTCCGCAGCCTTGATATGCTGTTTACTGCAGAAGCCGTGTTAAAATTGCCCGTGTCCTTGGCAGCGCATCACTCTTGCATCACGCCCATGCTCAATGACCTGCACTCAGGGTACAATATTGTGGATGTTGTTGATGTCTGAACTTGAAGGAATCCCTTCCTGTTGGAGACCAGGCCCCATTTCCTTTAAGACTCCACATCAAAAATGAGGCTGATGGAAATGACTCACACCGTGGTCCCCAGAGCGGACATTTGGCCAAAGAACGCTGTTGACGGCCTCAAAACAGGATATGAACGTTATATGTCTGTGTTTATTGCAGATGGTGGAATACTTGAGAGCTCCGGCGACACTGATAAGAACAGTTTGCAGCTATAGTCACGTATCCACTGTGCAGAGGCTTAGCAAACAGCTTTGCTTTGTTCACAGCACCATTTCACATCATCAGCATCCCTCTGCATCCATACAACACACACAGATTATATTCACACAACTTTACCATTTCATTTCAATTACAAATATACTACTTACAAAGGATTACTGTCACAAATCAGGTCACTTTTTACACCAACAACCAACATCCTCACTACAATCTACACAGAGACATTCCTTCTCTTGATTAACACAATATTTAATTTTTCCATTTATTGTTCATAAATTTGAAGTGAAGCACACAAAAGGTAGAGCCCTAAAACCGTAGATGACTACATTACAACTTGTACAACAAACACTTGTACAACATTACAACAAATGAGTAAACAACCAGCCAAACTACTACAACCAATAACAGAAACAGATGGCAGTATAGAAAGTTTTCTGCATTAAAGGGCTCTTGTATCAATTCTGCCACTTTGGCGCCAAAATGATTATTTATACTGTATGTGGCTGAATATGTAAAAAAGTCCCAGCTTAAAACATTAAATGATGCCTAAAATAATTCGGCTTTAGCTCTGTCCAGAGGTGTCCTGTGCTTTAAGTACAAGAGGATTTGTGGCAGCGCTTGTAATGTGCACTGAAGTTATATTTACTCTGTTTGATCCTGGACTGGCCACGTCATGACTCCAGGGTTAAACAGTTAAAAGGCAGGTGAGGCAGTCGAGCTTATCCAACATCAAAGCTTCTGTTTTAGCACAGAACAGAACGAACTTTCCCAATTCATTCATTTTGCAGATTGTAAATACTTCATACTTCATAAATATTATAAAATGATAATATACTTTCACTTATTACTATTCAATATTCATAATTTATTTAATCGTTCATTAATAATTAAACAAACAAATCTGTCCACTTCATGTCTGGTTAAGGGAGTTGAGGAGGACCTGTTGGTCTGCTTTACTTGAGGAAACATTCTTAACAGATCTTTTTCAGGAGATGTACAGTAAAGTGACTTGGTGACTATAGTGGACAAACGATCACTTGTTTGGTCGCTCCTAGCCCCACGAAAAGTCAAGGACACCTTTCAAAACACCCAAGGACGCTGTACAAACATTGCTAAAAACAGGGTGCAATATCAAATCCACAGGCCTGACATCAGGGCTGGTTTGGGAGGATCTGATGAACACGTGTGCGCTACATAAGCTGCTGGGTCTCCTGCTGTGACACTTATCCAACAACTGGTGAAGCAGCAGGCTCTAAGTCGGCCAGGCCATTACCGCAGCACTGATCACGCAACATTTCCCAGCAGAAAAAGATCTAATATAGAATGGATAACTAGCAATACCTTGAGTGATGAATAATGTTCATCATAAAGTAGAAATAGGTTTTGTTTTTCTGTTGTTCAATTATAAAAATGAATGAAAATGTTAAAGCTGGGGTACCTAAAGTTTATGTAAATATGAAATGTGGGAAAACAAGTCGTGATAGCAACATGATTAAGATTAAGAGATCCTTTATGTGTCCCACAGGCTGTATTCATATTTCAAGATAAAATGTACCTCTGTCAATACACGATTCATGTCTGATCAAGGGCCTCAGCCCGAAACGTCACTACTTTGTAAATAAAAGACACTTGGGAGCAACATAGCTGTGCAGATTTTTCTTTTTATTCATACTGTGCACCTTTTTTGAATCGGAAGTTCAGGCCACTGAGATGTGCGGCCTTATTTGAAACCTCTGTCATTACAGACATGTTACATGAATGAGCTTTGTAAATCAAATAAATATGCTTAATTATTACACTTAATGTAAATCAAATAAGGTTTATTTTGTAGGTTTGTGTTGAAATCATCTAACAAAAGAGTGATTGGAAGTTTTGAGTCAGAAAGTAAAACTATTTCTCTCCCAAGTATCTTTAATTTACAGACCACAATAGTGACGTTCGGCGCTCGGAAACGAGAGGATGCATCTCAAAGGGCTGTTCCTCGTAATAAAAATATGTTATGATTTTTATTACTTTAATGCATCTATTTAGTATGTCATTTTTTAATCTCAGTATTCTGCATGAGTCATAAGGTTTTCTCCTTTCTCCGAGCGGCTGTTGTTACACAGGAAAGCACAGTCACTGAGAGTAAAGCAGTCGTCATGCGTCCTGTGAGTCTCTCCTCTGACCAGAGACGGCGTAAACGAGACTGACTCACCTCACAACCTCTCGCCTCCTCCTGCTCGCCCCATCTCAGACGACCCACCAGGAGCTACCACTTCCAACATCTCAGGGAGGGTCCAGCATACCGTCTGCAGGAGCGAGATAAGAACTGCTCACTGTGCAATTCTGGGCAGTCCCTTTGTCCTTGGAAAGAGTGCGCTGACCCTGGGTAATAATTACACTATACACAAATTACAAATCTACTTCAAAACATCCACATCTCCTGTTTGACCGATTTCAAATGACTAACGATCACAATCATATTCAATTCAATTTCAATTCAATTTAAACTTGTTTAGCCCTAAATCACGACGGTACTTATCTCGGGGGACTTTACAAAACGGTCCAATTCACCACAGATCAGAAAATCAAACAGTTCGAACACAACAGTTTTCTGGACATCTTAGTTTTATCAGAGTCTCCTCAAATGTATCTTGGTCTTTAACTTAATTACTTTTACGTTTGTCACAGTGTGTTTCACTTACACCTTGTGTTGTCAGCAGACTACATTTCAAACTTGATTTTGATACTAGAAAAAAAATACTTACTTTATGATACCACATTGATAATTTATAGCTCTTTTTTTATACTACTTTTAGTGATTCCTATTTGATTTGCGATACTTTTGACAACCCTATGTTCTTCAAAAAATCAGTTACAGTTGAGCAGTCTCTCCAGGTTTGTAATATGAACTGATAAACAACCATGTTTCTGTTTTGGCAGTCATGGCAGAAAAGTTATATTGTACATTGTAATTACGTAATCTTATTAATGTAAGATGTATTGTTAGATTATAGACACATGTAGTTGGTTTCTAAAAGTGTGGTTAACACCTTTTATGCAACAGTGTTGCTAAAGTCATGTGTCCAAAGCCTCAGCCTCTTCAGCCAATCTCAGAGTGATTAGAAAGGCTTTTCCTTCTATCCTGAGCGGCGCGTGTATGTGATTAGCAGCCAGGCCACTGCTGCACAGTGGGTTCAAGTGAACAGCTCGACTATTTGTTTGAAAGTTTGTGGATGGTTCTAAAGTGTGGGATATGCAGCTCTGTGTCATCTCGAGGTGAGTGTGTTCCAGTGGTTGCTGTTATGGAGAGAATTGGCTTGTGTTTAGCTTCGGTGTCAGTAAAATGCCCTGACAAGTCTGGAAGTCGGGCACAGAAGGGGCAAAGGTCCTGAAGAAGAGCAACTGCTTTAAAGGTTTAGATTATGGAGGGTTTAAACTAGTCCTGATTCCTTCATTGACTAGATTTTAAATTTGGATCAGAGACGGGCAATGTTGTCACACATTATATTCCTGCACAACGCGTGACTGCTACACACTAATTTACAGGATGTTCGCAAAACATGAATAATAACATGATCACAAGTAGCTAGAATGTGTGCATTATGACTCAAATAAATATGTTTCTTCTATGTTTAGGCCTGCAACTATCATGGTAATATCATTTATTGGGATAAAATGTTGATCAATAAATAAATGCACAGATAAAAGTTGAGCATCATCTCCATAGGGCTTTAGAGTGTGCATATTATCCTGATTACAGCATCTTTGGTGCTAAAACACCACAAAAATACACATTATCATAAAAGACATGTTTCTAACCAGTAATTTTAGAACAATGCTAATACCGAGCCCAAATGCCAACCATGCTCTTTCTGCATGTCAGTCAAGCTTAGCCTATTTTAGCACAGTATAGAATTTGAATTTTCACAAGACCTGATTATATTTCTTCTATTGAATGCAATGAAATTCCCTTGTGTTGTATTTATTGGATATTTCTGTTTCAAAAGGCAATCCAGGCCTCTACACTGAAAAGATGGCTCAGTATCCTCCCGGGACAGGAACAATCACTGAGGTAATGTCCACTTTAACTGCCGCAGAAACATAAGCTTGTTATTTTAAGTCATGGTTTATTCCTGTACTGATCCATCACAACAACATGTAACAACTGCTTTTTATTTATTTTTTTTAAAGGCGCAATTGAATCAAAACCTGATTTCAAAGCACTTTACATAAAAACTACACACACATTATTGTGATTATTGAAATTGTCAGTGAATGGTGTATTCTCTATAGTTTAAAAAGCCAAATAAGCATCACCTGGTCATACTAATGTTAAACAATATTGCTATTGTCAGATTTCATACAATATATCTGTTATTACTACATTTTAGGTCTATGTGGATATGCACTGAAGACTTCTGTGGGATTCATGGAGTCTTTACCCCCACCTGAGGTCGCACTTCTTCAGTAGCCGAGGAACCACACTCAAGGGATTTTGAAATGTCCCACAGACACCACTTCCAGTGCTTTCAGTGCGTGAATGCAGAGGATGTCCATAGACCTTTATTTTACTGCCGGCATCACACCAGCCGCTTCCCCCTGATCCCTCAGCACGGTGTGGTGGGTCACTACAACCCACACGAGGACTGCTGTCTGTCCTCCGAGTGCAGACATGGCCCGACCCAGGAGACCCTGGAGCCTCTGTGCCATGCGCCATGCTACCTGCATCATCCACCGCACATCCCCAGGAGACCAAAGCAGGCTCCCGAGGCCCAGCCGGGGCACGACCACCACATCCATCACCACAGGCACAAGAGGGTGATGCTGGTGAAACACAGCGACCCATCGTGTAGGAAATCTATTGTTCTGCACAGAAGGGGTCTGCGCAGTCTGGGCCTGTTTCTGAAAGAGGCCTCAGAACTCATGCAGTACCAAGTCAGGAAAATGTACACTCTGGAGGGGCACAAGGTAAAACTACAATCATCATTTTAATTTTCACATCTTTGTTTAATTATTGCTCTATTTATTGCATAAAGAAAATGTTGGAAATCCAAACTTACATAACTGATCACAAAATGTACTTGAAATTGTATATTTAAAGTAGTGTGTATTTCAATCAAATTCTTTGATACAATAATTGATTGTGCCTCATATTTTAAATCTGTTTATGGAGACTGATTGTGCATGGTGAAAATACAAGAGAATATTGGCTCAGTTTCACATATGTTATAAGATCTTTCAGAACCACATTTATCTTGCTCAGCTGAGAGCTATTTTTGAAAAGGTGGAAACAGGTCAGAAAAGAAACTCTACTCTCTTAGTTTGATCCAACAAGCATCTCAGAAAAGTGTCTTCAACCGGCAATTAATAATCTTCACCACAGCTCTGTGACCACAGCCATTCATCTGCTGTTTACACAGGCTTCCACATCCCAAAGCGCACTGTCAACAAGGCAAGTCACATACTGTAGGGATACTCTGTAAAAAATGTCCCACAAAGTGTTGTAATATTACAGTTTTACTGGTACCTACTTTCTTAATATATTTAAAACATAATGTACAGTTAACTATATGCAGTGCCATCAGTCATACACTGCTTTATTATTCAATAGCACAGCTATTTATCTAATATTCAGATAAATACTGTGTGAATCAGATCCAATTTGTACTTTTTTCTAAACTCTGACAGTTGCAGCTGACCTTTGCAGAAATGCACCGTCATCTGGTGAGGACAGAGATCATCCTGGATTAGGGTCATTAACAGATCCTGAGTCACTGCAGGACGATCTGCCTTTATTCAGCCTCATTAAAATGCCACTGTGGTCTAATCACGGACTGTCTCAACCTTACTCCACAAAAGTATATCATACGTGTAAAAATGCATAGTACTCAGTGTTAAACAAAAAGGGCAATCCTTACTGGTGCAAAGCCCAGTACAAGGTTTAACAAAAAATAAAAAATGTGGAATAACATATGAATCGACTTTTGTAATGTTTTATTTTTTTCAGATTGAAACAATTCAGGGTCTGATGCAATGCCCCAGTGTGCTTGTGTGTGTCGGACGAGAGCCATTTCAGCCCACATTTGTAGACAGATTTACAAATGTTGAAAAAATGCAGATGGAAGATGTCTATGCAGGTATTTGAAATTAGTTATTTGCTAATTTTTTTAAGGAAGCAAATATATTTACCTATATATGATTCTGTATTTAAAACAGATAGAACAAAGATGGATTCTGCTCCCAGCCCGGCCATGCACTCTGTGTCCTCTGACAAGTCTTTACCAGATGGAACACTTTCACCTGAGAATGTTGACAAATGCAACGCACAAGACAGATTGAGAGAAGACGACATTGAAAAATCGGTCCGTGTAAACAAAGATGGCAGCTTATCTATGGAAATGAAAGTACGCTTCCGACTTAAACATGATCAGACTTTACATTGGTCAACACAAGTGAAAAAAACCACTGAGAGATCTTGTAATCCGCTGACACCGCACAATTATCTACTTGATGGAGAATCTGAAGACGTCTATGCAAATGAACACAATGAAGCACATTCTGACTGTCCTCACTGCAGGGAGCCACACAGAGCTCAATCTTGCATTTCAAGTGCTTCTTCTCAGACAAAAGTCTCCAGGACAACATTGATTGAAAGCAGGAAAACAATATCAAGATCAAGTGAGGATAATTCAGAGCAAGTGTTAGAGACGGAGCAAATTTTTGAGGCAACTGAAGCTGTGGAGTACTGCTCCGTTACAAATCAGACCTGCTCAACACAATCCAGGGAATGCCCTGTCACCACACAAGATAGTGCAGAAGAGAGACCTGTCAGTATTTATTCAACAACAGCGATAGAGAAGGGTAAAAACCAAGAAGACAGAGGATCTTCTGAGTCAACCATATCTACGACATCGAAAAATTCCAAAAAGTCCTATCCATGTCAATGTGCTGTGTCAAAGCATAACAAAGCACAAAGTCCAAGCACACTTGAAGGTGAAGACACGTCTATTTTATCAGAAACAGAGGTTTTCAATGATGATGAAAAAAGACATAAACATGAAGATCAGGAGAATAATTCAGAGAGTGATATCGCAAAGGAGTCACTCGGAGTTGAAGTTGAAGATGGAGAAGAAACCGAGGTATCAAAAACAGCCATGACAGAAGGACTGAGTCCACCAGTTGAAAAGTCTTCCACAGAAGCCAATAATGACGCACATGTTGAAGATGATAATGAAGAGCTCAGCAGATCACATAGTCCTCTTTCAGTAAAGTCCAGTGTGTCTACAAAGTCCAGAACATGCAGGGTATCTGAACTCAGCAGCGAAGTTCAAACTGTTAGCGAAGTCACAGAAGGACAATCACAAAGCCAACTCTCCGCAAAGTTATCAAAATCTAATCGATCCAATTTGGAAGAGGCTGTTGATTGTGATGAAACCACATCCATTAAATCTGAACAATCAGTAAAGTCGGTCAAGTCAAACATTACAATTATTTCTGAGAAAAGTCCTGCGCCCCCCGATGATGCGGCTGGAGACAATGGTGCAATAGACTCTCTTAGATCGCCAACTGTTCTGTCATGCAAATCAACAATCTCCAATGCAACTTCAATATCAAGAAAATCAAACGTTTCGGAAAGTTCTGGAAACAATACAGTGGAGTGTGAAGAAAGAGTCAAAAGTTCAATGTCAGTCAAGTCAGGAATCTCTGATGGAACTGAAGTAAGTGACACTTTAAACATAGAAGAACAGACTGAAAAGAGAGCTTTGAGCAGTCTGTCAGTTAAATCAGCCAAATCACATGTTTCTCACAAATCAGCCACGTCCGCAAAGACAGCCATCAGTGCCATTTCTAAAAAGTCCAATGTCTGTGAAGATTGTGGAAAGATTGAGTACAACGATAAAGGACAGAATGAAGAGCTGAGCAGATCAAATAGTCCTCTTTCAGTAAAGTCCAGTGCATCTGCACAGTCAAGAACTTCCAAGGTATCTAGACTGAGCAGCGAAGCTCAAACGGTCAGCGAAGTCACAGAAGAACGGTCACAAAGCCAACTTTCTGTTGCATCTGCACAGTCATCAAAGTCTAATCGGACTGTAAAATCCAATGTGGAAGAGGCTGTGGATTGTGATGAAACCACATCCATTAAATCTGAACAATCAATGAAGTCGGTCAAGTCAAACATTACAAACCTTTCTGTGAAAAGTACTGCTTCGTCCAATGATGCGGCTGGAGACAATGGTGCAATAGATGACTCTCTTAGATCGCCAACTGTGCTGTCATGCAAATCAACAGACTCTAATGCAACTACAATATCAAGAAAATCAAAGGTTTCGGAAAGTTCTGGCAACAATGCGGTGGAGTGTGATGAAAGAGTCAAAAGTTCAATGTCAGTCAAGTCAGGAATCTCTAATGGAACTGAAGTAAGTGACACTTTAAACATAGAAGAACAGACAGAAAAGAGAGCTTTGAGCAGTCTTTCAGTTAAATCAGCCAAATCACATGTTTCTCACAAGTCTACCACGTCCACAAAGACAGCCATCAGTGCCATTTCTGATAAGTCTCACGCTTCTAAAAAGTCCAATGTCTGTGAAGATTGTGGAAAACTTGAGAACAATGATAAAGGACAGAATGAAGAGCTGAGCAGATCAAATAGTCCTCTTTCAGTAAAGTCCAGTGCATCTGCACAGTCAAGAACTTCCAAGGTATCTAGACTGAGCAGCGAAGCTCAAACGGTCAGCGAAGTCACAGAAGAGCGGTCACAAAGCCAACTTTCTGTTGCATCTGCACAGTCATCAAAGTCTAATCGGACTGTGAAATCCAATGTGGAAGAGGCTGTGGATTGTGATGAAACCACATCCATTAAATCTGAACAATCAATGAAGTCAGACAAGTCAAACATTACAAATATTTCTGAGAAAAGTCCTGCTTCCCCCGATGAAGCGGTTGCAGACAATGGTGCAATAGATAACTCTCTTAGATCGCCAACTGTTTTGTCATGCAAATCAACAAACTCCAATGCAACTACAATATCAAGAAAATCAAAGATTTTGGAAATTTCTGGCAACAATGCGGTGGAGTGTGATGAAAGAGTCAAAAGTTCCATGTCAGGAAACTCTGATAAAACTGAAGTCAGTGACACTTTAAACATAGAAGAACAGACAGAAAAGAGAGCTTTGAGCAGTCTGTCAGTTAAATCAGCCAAATCACATGAATCTCACAAATCAGCCACATCGACAAAGACGGCAGTCAGTGCCATTTCTGATAAGCCTTGCGCTTCTAAAAGGTCCAACGTTTGTGAAGATTGTGGAAAACTGTTGGCTAATGATGAGGAACAAACTGAAGGAGAGAAGAAAGAACAAAAAAGCGCAGGGTCAGTCATGTCCAAAGCTTCCAAAGCCATGACTGAAAAATCCAAAAGGACAAGCGCTTCCAATGAAACTGCATCTGTCTCAGATAATCCAGAGACAATAAGTACAGATGATGCCTTAGATGAGACACCAGACAGCGAAAGATCAGCCAGTTCAATGTCAGTATCCTCAATCCAATCAAACATTTCTGCTGAAACTAAATCAAATGCATCAACCTTTATAACAATCACAGAATGTGAAACTGATAAATCAGATGTTCAAGAAAAAGGAATAAGCCCAATATCTATCCGATCAGTAAAATCCAACAAATCAAATAAAAGAGAGTCGGAAAGGACCCCCAGTGTTATTTCTGTAAAATCAAGAACATCAGCAAAGTCAACTGGGTCTAACAAAAGTAAGAAATCTAAAGAGGAAGGAATAAGTGAACGGGCCAGCTCAGTCCTCACAATTAAGTCAAGTATTTCTGCAAAATCTAAAGTTACAACAGAAGAGTCTAACGAAAATGGAGACAATGCTTCATGTTCAACTGTGATGATGGACAAAAATGAAGAGGCAGAATGTGATAGTGTCTTGTCGATAAAATCCCAGTCTTCAGTCAAATCTAGTAAGTCAAAATTGAAACCTGAACCAGAAAGTCAGAGATCTTTAAGTGCATTATCAGCAACATCAGCCAAGTCGAGAAAAACAGCTAAATCAGTTTCAACTAATGGGACTACAAACAAAAATTCAGTAAGCCAGATCACAGAAACAAGTGATGTATACAAAGATAAAACTGATGACATAGAAACTATAACAGTTAGTTCAATGTCAGTTAAGTCTGTTAATGCCAAGTCAACAAAATCAACAGTCCAGTCAAAAGCCACTGAAAATATAGAAAATGAGGTGGACACAGCATCTAGATTAAGATGTAAGGAAAAGAACAGTGAAGAAAAATCCAAAAGTTCATCTAGAAAGTCAAATTCAACTAAGAAATCACAGATTATATTAAACAATAACTCAGATGTTCAAAAAGAAAACAAATGCTGTCTAAAAGTGTCTCAAAAAAAGCCAATTCAAAGGGATATGTCTCAGGAATTGTCCAGTTCAGAATTTCTTGGAGAAGCTGAAACAACTGCTTTGGAAACTTTAAACCAAGTAATTCCAAATGGCTTACCAGAAGATAAATCTGAACTAGTACCTTCGAGTCTACCAAATGCATCCCCACATGAGGTCGTTCATCAGTGGTTAAAAACAATATCAACTGAGGGTGATATGTGTGAAGTTGAAGACTATAAACAAAACTGTAATGAGCCCGTCCATTCAAACAGTGAAGAGGACGATAAGAAAACAGAACTAATAAAAAATAAGACATTACCTGTGGTTAACAATGATTCCAAGATATTACAGTCATCAGTACAGGTGATGAAGGTTCTTTTAAATCCAAAGCTTGATAGATGCAACAGCATGCCAGAAATATCATCTGTGTATGGACGCAAGCTGAGCACATCCGCGCACGGACTTTTAGACTGTCTTGTAAAGTTACAATTATTGGACCAACACTCACGAAATTCCAACGAAAATGATGCAAAGTATCAGGATTTAATGAATATTCTTCAGTCTCTGTGGCTTTCTGATCCAGCAAATAATAAGCAGGGCCGTGAACATCATTTTCTAGATTCGTCATCGTCTGGTGTTGATGTGAACAGTGGCTCTGGATCTGGGAAAAATAGTGACAATAAAAATATTGAACCATTTCAGACAGATGTTCTAGCGCATGATACTGAAAAGAATGATTCTAAGCACAAGGAAGATGACCTTACAACAAATGATACGGTCCGAGACTATGACAGTCCCAAAGACTTGCCTGAAACACCAACCTCTGCTGGACAGGACAACTGCCAAACTGTGAAAGAGGAAAGTGATGCTTTACGCTCTGGAAGTCCTTGTTCACTTCAAAGAGAGGAATTAGCCAAGATGATTTTTCATGATGATGAGCCTCTGCATGTTCTCACATTATTGACTAAGATTGAGAAGCAATTCATGAAACATTACATCAATGCAATGAAAGAGTTTAAAGTTAGATGGAATTTGGAGAGTAACGACCAGGTTGATTTGATCATTAATGAGCTCAGGGGAGAAGTACACGAAAAAATCCAGAAAAGCATTAATAAAGAACTTAATAAAATCAAAGTACAATCTGGACTCCCAAGACCACCAAAAGAACCAAAAGAAGAACAGCCTTTGAAGATAACTCGACACAAACACTCACAGGAACAGAAAGAAATAAGCGAGGATTCTGCCACAGGAACGTCCTTCAGTGAAAAGGATGATGATTGTTCTTGTAAAACATGTATTCAAACAGTAGCATCAGACGCAGAAGTTACTGAAGAGACCAATGGAGAAAACAATTCTGCAACTGATGAATCCGATGAGCACCAAACTAACCGTGAAAGCACTGGCATAACTACAACAGGAAATGAATCGATGGATGTTAAATCTGAAGTCAATTGTGAGGGTGAAGCTGAGAATGAAATCGTTGAAGATGATAATGACAATACAAAGGAGAGTGTGGAAGAACAGGGGGAAGATCAAAAGGTGGAGGAAGAACCAACACGCCAAGATGAAAATGAAGATGAGGAGACTCTGGCCTTAAGTGCAGATGAGAACCAAGGCAAATCCAAAGACGACATTTCCATGCATGATTCTGGAGAGGAGGAACCCACTTCACAAGATGAACTCACAGAGACTACGGCAGAGGTGGAGTTGGATGCCGCCAGTGGTGATCAATCTGATGTAGGTGAATCTGGTAATGCTGCAAGTGAAGGAACAACTAATTCCGAAGAGGAAAATTCAATATCTGAAGATAATTCAGAAAAGACTTCTTCGGAACCCACAGGAGCACCCTCCACTGAAGAAACCGGTGATAATGATGCCATCCAAGAGAAAGAGGATAATAACAATCATGATGACAATGTAGAAGTGGACAAAACTATAAACGAATCTGAAATAGACCAAGATGAGGAGGGGGAGACACAGGCCACAAGCGGAAATGAAAATGAAACAGCGTCAGACAATGAGGCAAGTGTTGATGAAGATATTGAACGCTTAAAAAATGCGGAGGAACAAGGTGAAGAAATTGAGGAGGAAAAAACAGGTGAAGCAGAGGAGACACTTTCTGTTGAAAATGAAACAAATATGGAAGGCGAAGTTGACGAAACAGAGAATGATCACGAGGAAGAGGAAGCAAATGAGATAGATGGAGAACAGAACAAACCTCCTTGTGAGAGTAATGACGACGACAAAGCAAATAGTGAAGATACTGACGGAGGAAATAACACCGAGGAACATGCGGACGTGGAAGAAGCAATTCAAGACAAGGGCGAGGACTCTCCAGATGTCAGTGGAGATGAGTCAAGGAATTCCATGCAAGAACATCTTGAAGATTGTAATGACAAGGAGGAAATGGAAAATGAAAAAAATATGGAAGGTTTTACAGTAAATGAAGAAAAAGATGGCGAACCGGACGAAGAAGAAAATGATTCAGAGGCAGAAGATGATGATGGAGAAGCGGATAAGTCCAGTAAAGGGGATGAAATGGTGATGACTGAGAACTTACAAAATGATGAAGATTTAATCGATGAGAATGAGCAGAAATGTGATTCTGTTGAGGAAGAAGAGGCAAGTGAGAACAACGCAACAGATGAACAGAACGAACCTCCTGGTGAAAGTGAAGATATAGATGAAGGGAAAAGTGATGAGGAACATACTGATATCACTGAAGAAAATGTTGAACAAGCAAGGACTGCTGAGGAAGACGAGGACAAGGACTCTCCAGTCGTCAGTGGAGACGACTCTGGAAATTCAACGCAAGAACATGCCGAAGCTTGCGATGAAAATGAGGAAACAGGTTGTACGGTAAACGAAGAAGAAAATGATGGAGCTGACAAAACAGAAATTGATTCAGAAGAACATGATGAAGATTTAATCAACGAGAATGAAACGAAAAGTGATTCTGAAGAGCAAGATCACGAGGAAGAGGAAAGTGAGAACAATGCAACAGATAATGAGCAGAATGAACCTCAAAGTGAGAGTAAGGACAACGACAGAGCAAATAGTGAAGATATGGACGGAGAGAAAAGCGAGGAGGAACAAACTGATACAGCTGAAGACGAGTCTCAGGATTCAATGCAAAAGGAGGAAACGGAAAATGCTGAAATAATGGAGCAAAAGTCGGGAGACGATGTTGAGGAAGTCGATGAACCTGCGGAAAGCAACACAGAGCCAGATGAAGTCCAAAATCAAGAGGTATCTGAGAATGAAGAAAACAGCCAAGAGCAGTCGGAAAATGACAGTGAAGTTGATAATGGTGGCACTAACGATGACAATGAAGAAGATGAAGAGTCTCCTGCTGAGGCCGCGCAAGCCTCCATTGAGGAAACCAGTGACAATGAGGCTGGACATGACAAAGAAGCAAACACCATTGATGACGACAAAGAAACAGAGGCACAGACTGTAAGCGATGCTGAAACGGATCACGATAGAAAGGAGGAAACACCTGTCACCAGTGGGGATGAAAACGACACAGGGACATGCAAAGAGGCTGAAGAAGAAGTCACGGATGAAGAACGAGAACTAAGCGAAGACGAAAAGGTTGAAGTTGATGATGAAACCGTTGCGCAAATTTCAGCAGCCAGTGATGATGATGATGACGAGGACAAGGGGAAAGAGAGCGATAACGTGGATGCCGGGTCAAACCGTGAAAGCAACAAAACTCCTGCTACCAGCGGAGTGGAGTCCGCAAACGAAGAAGACACCACCGACCATGAAACTCCATTGACGAAGGAAGATGTAGAGGCTGAGGAAAATTCAGATGTAGAAGAGGCCACAGAAGAGGTTCATGAGGAAGAAAAGGACAAAGAAGCCAACGCAGAAACAAGTGAAAGTGAAGATGAGACTCCTGCTACAAGTGGAGATGAGTCTGCAAAAGAGAGCAGCGATGAGGAAAGCGATGCGGTGGAGAAGGACGACGCTCCCAAAGGCGGACAAGATGCAGAAACACTCGAGAGTCGGTCAGAAAACAAAGGTGGCGACGATGTTTCTGAATCAAGTGCGGATGAAAAAGAGGAGAGTAACCGTGAGTCCGAAGATGAGGTAGTCTCCAAAGCTGATTCGGAAGAAGATTCAGCCTCAGTGGAAAGGAATGGACCAAATGTAAACGGGTCATGTGAAAAACAGGATGACCATAATGACAAAATGTAGAATCTATTGAAAATGAAGCAAAGGCCAGTGCAGAGAGCGATGTTGACCAAGCACAAGAGTCTAGATGAGGTTAGCACTGAGACGGAGGCCACACAGTCAAAGCCTGATTGTGTTGACAACGTGGAAGAAATCTCACTGAAGAATGAGCAAGAAGAACAACCTAAACGGTAAGACATTGAACGATATGAGAGTGACCAGCAGACAATGGCAAATGTGGCCAATGACTCGACTGAAGTTGGATGAGGTTCAGTGTGTGGAGAACAAGAGGAAAAGATAAATTGCACCGAGACTGAGACTGATCACTAAAAACAAATGTGATAACACAATTATGAAGAGGGAGATCTGAAGATTCTGAAATGATCGAACAGTGAGGTACTGCACTGTGATGGTCAATGGACAAATATTTTCAAAGATGTAATATGTAATGGCATTACTATATTGTCATAGAAAATATATATGTATAACTATCAGGTAAATAAGTAATGACGTCGCATAAGAAGCCTTAGAATAAACAAAAGCTGAAAAAGAACAAAAAACATATTCAAGCATGAGTGCAGCTGCTAATAATTTGGGATTTGAAATAAAATTCCTGAATGTGTTTGAATGTACCACAAAATCCTACTTGAAATGTGTTCAATATATCTACTGTATGTGTGTCACTTTTCTAGCTTATGTTGCACTATTTTCTGCTAAGTGAGATTGAAATTACTGTCAAAGAAGTTACTGTAAGAATCACAAACCCAATACTTAAGTCACTTTTCTGTACAGAGGCCATTATTGTTCTTGCACAAGCACTTAGTCTTAAATGACATATTTATGTAAAATAAATATCTATATTTATGCACCAATGTACTGTAAAATGCTTCAATGTTAAATTAATAAAATGTAATGTGAAACATTTGTGTTTTATTAGCTTAATGAATAAACCAGTAAATAAAACAAACAATCTTCCTCTAGCTTTTCTCTTTCTCATAGTTTATAGATTTGTTCCTGGGTCAAACTGTATCAGTGATGTCAGCAGCGTTGGTGTAACAGATTGTGTCAGACGTGTCTTCCATTGTATTCAGTTTGCTGCTGCAGTGGCAGGTGAGATGGATGTGCCCTTTTCAAATGTATATTCACGCTCTCTTGTGCTCATGCGACTTGTGTAATTGGTGTCACACAGATTGAAAGCAGCACCAAAAGGAAGAGGAAGGAAAATGAAAACTTTTTTTTAAGATTTGTAGTGTACACGAGGCTTAGGGCTGTGTGGAGAGAACAAGTCATAATATGAAAGTAAGATTGAATTTCTGATGTTTTAGTCACTCATCTTTTAAAAAAAAACCTTAAGGAAGCACCTGCTTACTGGCATTCTGTAATTTCCACAGTAAACATTGGAGTGAAGAACGTCATCCGGAGCATACGAAAAAGGGATTTTCCCTCAGCTATGTTTACTTCAGTACAATTCACCCCTCTGCAGCTGCACTGGATGTTAATTAATTATATACAATACTATGTCTATTACTTATTTATCAAACTCAGAATTAATTGTATTGAACATGTAATCAACAAATTCACATTTAGTCTCAATTTACTTTCAAATATCTGCCATAATGAGGTATAACTAAACTTATACATATACAGTATGTCTTATATATTAATATCTGTCTATCTTTGTCCAGCCATCCTAGTAGTTCTGTCATTGAAGTGGACAATTGTCCTCTGCATTTAGACTTTATTAGGGAGATCAGGACCTTCTACTATTTGATGTGTGAGAGACGATAGAAATGGTTCCCACACTGGCAGGAAGTCCAAGAGGGTCCTTTTGTGATTTTGGAGGGAATTCAATTTGAGTTGAAAAGCTGCGCTACATTATCCAAATGTTAATCACACATGGCTAATGGTTTCAGTATTTATTTTGGTCGAATTTGACATGTTTAGTTGAATTAGTCGTGTGAGAAAAAAATATATTATTTTAAATATAACATTAATATTGAAATGATATTGAATTGATGTTTAATGAAGGAATGATGTCCACTTTTGCCTCACTGTTGGCCAGAAGCACATAACTAAAGGAGACCCACGCTCCCTTTCTTTCCCACCGTTGTTCAGGTTATCCTGTGGGGCCACTTATGCCCCGTCTGCAGGCAGGATGCAATGTCGGGGGACCCCAGTCGAGCTGTACACAAGCATCCGCCGGGCCCTGGGAACCAAACAAGGCCCGATGTCAAAGCATAGAGGGAGCAGTTACTAACCAGGTCCACTCAATAACACTGAGCGTGCACCTGCAGCCTGTGTTTACTGAAGTCAGTCGCACACAGGTGGTCCAAACAAAACCTGTGAAGTGTTGCCCAGAGAGTAATATCTCCATGTTACGTGTTGTATAAAGCCCCCCATAGGAAGCAAACACATCCTGTGCTGTAAGATTTATTGTCCCTTGCACTTGCACATTGTAACTATGTTGAAGCTGTTTCTTCCTTAAATGCTCTTTAATAATTTAATATGGTAAGTATTCATTGTTTTTTGGCAAGTTGAAGGCCGCTATTAAAGAACGTGAGGATGTATTGTTTAGTGTTGGTGGATTATAGGGATGGGTAAGTCCCTGTCAGAGCAGTGTGTGAGAAAAGGAAAACCTTGGTTAGCAGCATTGTGTGAAACCCAAAAGCAATGTTTTACGTAATTAATTATGATACACAATAGCTATACAAATGCATTTTTCTCTTAAGATAAATTTATATAATTTAACCAGTAGGTGGGGCTTTTATGAATATGGGAATAGGTAAGCCTGACGTAGAGTTATCAGAAGTAAAGCAGTTTACCTCAAACCAGTGCAGGCCCATGGATCTATTGGTGCAGGCCTCGCTACATGAACTATGTTGCCCCCTGCTGGCCACGTGCAGAACATATGGAAAAGCAGAATGATGCCGTGTACAGAACATAGACTGTACAGAAACATGAATCAACACTATATTGACGAAAATGAGCTAAACCAGTTACATTGAAATAAGAAGTTATCTGTTCTTTTTTGGAGAGATTTTTTTTTCTCTTAGTGATTTCTAATTAACATTACGGTCTATGGATAAACCATGGTAAATACAATGGGTTATACACGCGCAAGAGAAAGATGAAAATCATAATTCTGCCAGTGACGACTGAAGACATCGTGTGAAGGTCCAGATTCTTTGCTCAAGTTGAGATGAAACATAAAAATCAGCTTCAGCTTTAGTCCAAACCAAATTTATTGTCTAATCTCTTGCACCATCTAGTGGCAGGAGTTTGTAGTGTGCTATCCACTGAGCGCCATAAAGCAATTCAAAGTTACATTCTAGGCTATTTAAAAAAACAAAAAAAAACCAAATAGATAAATAAAATAAAATCATCAAAGCCTTTGTGCTGAATCTGGACCCGTTTGAAATCCAAACTCACAAAAACATTAGTCCAAGAATGTGCAAACAAGTGGATAGGTATGGAGGATATTACATGGGTTCTGCCTGGAAAAAAATGTTGGCAGACTTTAGAATTTGATCTTTCAATTGTTCCCACTTATAATTATTACTCTAATTATAAGTGGTAACTGTCTCTGTGCTGAGAAATATCAAATTCCTTTACTCGTGAGTCCTCAGTCTCAGAGTTCAGCTATTTATTTGCACTGTAAAGGGTTCTAGTTTGAATTTTGGGCCACATTTTAGTCTTAAATTAGTTTTAGTTTTAGATTACTACCGCTTTATAATCAGGTGTGCTTGTTAAATCTGTTTTGATACATTTCCGTGACTTTCAGAGCCTCGGGGGAGAAGCTCTGACACTGAGTGGAGGAGGGAGCAAAGAGGAGAGAAAGTCAGCTTCAAAATGAGCTGAAAAAGACACATGAGGAAGTAGAAGATTCTGCCATTGGACTACTTCACTAAGAAAATACGGTCTGTAGCATTTTTAGTTTTTTAAGAAATTGAAGACTGAGTTAATTTGAATATATCATTTGTTTCTATTTAACTGTATTATTATCATTAATGTAATCTAATTTGCAATTTAGTCACATTATGATGTATCTTATGTACATTTCACTCACCGGACTTCAACTCGATATAACACATTTAAACAGTTTATGTATAAAAGCATGTGAAAACAATAGACTATGACAATCTGTCAAAAGGTTACATTTGATTAAGTTCTTCACATGCCTCAAACACCAAAATATATTCTAGCAAACTTTCAGCTATTTTTATCCACGCCATCGTTTCCTTATTCATCAAATAATTAGTTGACCAATTCACCTTTTGGTTGACTAAAACTCTATCACACTGTTCAAGACTTATTTTAGGACACACAGTAATAGCTTGGTGACCTCAAACCTTGATCATATCCTCTATTAAAAAGGTCATTGGTTTGTGCTTGAGACCATTTCTTCTAAACAACAGCAGCAATTTTAACAGCATGAGTTATCATCAAAGCAGAGCAGAGCCTGAAGATCTACTAGATCTATTATCTATTCACACATAGGCTTTAACTTTAAAGATGAAACAAGTACTAATATATTAGAAAAGACAAAGAATGATTCTTACTACTGCTTATTTATATGTTTCCTTTAGCCTTTAGGATGGGCTGTGCCTGCAGTGGCCAGAAGGACAAACAGAATCATCAGGCCTTGAAGTCGCCAAATCATTTAGTAATACATCAAAGGAATACATTTTGTTTTTAAATAATATACTACATTCAGTGATTCATTTGTATTTTCTGTCATCAGGGAATGACGGGAAACGCATATTTGAATAATGGTATTTTTCAAACTTCAGATATTTGTATGATCACAGAGTTGTGATTACGATCCGTTTTGACTTCCTCTGTACGCTAAAAGGAAAGAGATTAGATGGACACATTTTACAAGCATCGCATTTTTTAAAGAAAAAGCTACTTGGAAATACATTTCTACTTTGATTTTCAGGTAATAATGTAGTTGTGGCACAACATGACTTTGTAGCAGCCAACAATACTGATCTACCTTTCAAAAAGGGAGAGAAACTCAAGGTTTTACAGAAGTAAGTAAAAACTTTTAGAGTCTGACTGTGGTTGCAGTAAAGCAGATGATGTTTGTTTGCAGTGATGGAGAGTGGTGGGTGGCACAGTCCCTCTCAACGGGAAAGGAAGGGTTAATACCATATAATTATGTGGCCCGAGCGAACACACTGGAAGTGGAAAAGTAATGCTTCCCCTGCAGCAAGAAATCTGTTGTGGAAATGTGAAAGGTGAAAGTAACTTTTGGGACATTTGTTTTACAGATGGTTTTTCAAAGATTTGAGTCGAAGAGAAACTGAGCGACTCCTTTTAGCTCCAGGAAACAAGCCTGGTTCATTTCTGGTCAGAGAAAGTGAGAGTAATAAAGGTATCTAAGACTGATTTTATTTACATTTTTATAAAATTAACAACTCTGCATCAATAACAGAAACTACTTTATAGGGTCTTATTCACTGTCAGTCAGAGATCATGTCCCGAGAGAAGGAGATGTGGTCAAACACTACAAGATCCGCAGTCTGGATAAAGGAGGTTACTACATCACTCCTTCAAACTCCTTTGTGGTCCTGCCAGACCTCATCAAATATTACAACCGTGAGTATGACATCACCAAACTACAACTGTATGTACTGCATGTTCGGCTCCTGTTTTGTCTGTGGTCAGATTACACAACATACAATGTGATTATTTCATTTTATAATATGGAAACACTTTAGTTCACTATTTAACAGCTAATTTATGTATTAAGAAATTATCTGTCAATATTATTCTCATATATTGTTTGTGGTTCATAGGTACAGCAGACGGCTTGTGCCAGCAGCTTGTTACTCCTTGCAAACCCAGGACTCCACAGCGGCCGTGGGCTGCGGATGAGTGGGAGATCCCCAGGGACACACTGAAAATGGTGAAGAAACTTGGCGCTGGGCAGTTTGGAGAAGTCTGGATGGGTACGACAACAGTAATACATATGTTGCTGAATTTAATTCATCTTTATTGTAATACTATAGTTTATGTTGTTTACTTTTGTTCAAATAAGTTAAGTCAAAATGAGTAAATAACTTAATAACTTACTAAATACTAAAGTAAAAAAAAAAAAACAGATCATTTATTTGTTTATTCGAGCAGACTCGTACTGCTCAAATACTGCTCAAATAGTACTGCAGACAAGTAAAAGGAGTGGGCCGAAGCAAGAGCTTATTGGTGCCCACCCCCAAAACATTCAAATATATTTTTTTAACTAAATAAATACAAAATGAGAATAGTTTTTCTTATTTTATGTGTGTTTTTCAGGTTTCTATAAGAACACGCAGAAAGTGGCTATTAAGACTCTGAAGGAGGGAACCATGGAGCCAGAGGCCTTTCTTCAAGAGGCAAATCTGATGAAGCAGTTACAACATGAGCGCCTGGTGCGACTTCACGCTGTGGTCACGAAAGAACCCATCCTCATCGTGACCGAGTTCATGGTGAACGGTAAGAAGCAATGAGGAACTTTATTCCTTTATCTAATTTGAGCTCCAATAGCTGTGCTCGCTCTTCTTGGGGTCCATTCTGCATAAAATCCATGCATTTTTCTGAGAAGTCCACTGAGCTTTATAATTACAATAAGTTTAATAGATGTTTCAAAAGCAGGTCTAATCTCATTTGTGTCCGACTCTTCTCTTTGCAGGTTGTCTTTTGGATTTCTTAAAAAACGGCGAAGGCAGATATTTGAAGCTCGCTAAATTAATAGACATGTCCGCCCAGGTTGGTATTTTATGTAGTGAACAAAGAATAGATTTAGGATTTAAAAGCATTCATTAGTTTTTACTTTTCCTGGAAAAGAGATTATCAGCTGCTTTTGTCCTTAGGGAGGATTTCCCTCAAATGTTGCATAGTGTGGCATTAAAGTAAACTAATCTCTGACGTATATCCAGAAAAGCAGAAGCATCATCTTATAAACCTATAATCAAATTAATTAATACATTAAATAAAAGCTGTTTTTGCTATAATATGAAACCTGACTAGCTTGAACCTAACTCTGATACATCAGCCTAATGTGTGATCAGAACACACTTGTGTGTTTCGTGGATTCTGTGGTTTAGTTTTAGCCTGTCAAATATGAAACCCTCAAGCTATGTCGGTTATTAACTTCCGGACAGGAAACCCATTTATTTCCACCAACATCGAACTGCTCTAAATATAAACCATCATTTATCAAACTTTTTTTTATTTATTTACCTACAGATAGCTGAGGGGATGGCATATATTGAAATAAAAAACTACATCCACCGTGATGTCCGTGCAGCCAACATTTTGGTCAGCGATACTCTGGATTGTAAGATTGCAGACTTTGGACTGGCGCGCATCATCGAGTCTGAATATACTGCACAGGAAGGTAGGCTGTTAACCCCTCACGCCCCATTCCTCAAGAAAACCACATCCACTTTTAAAGGTATAAAGGAAGATTTCCCCAAATTTTAGGAAAGAACCCGCCTTTCCACTTTTTGAACAAAACTCTCTGGTCTTATTTGACGAGCACATATCACCAGAATGATGGGCAATTAGGAGGACCAATAGTCTTGAGGATCCACCCAGAAGTAGAAAATTCTCCCATGTACCTTTAAGGTCATGGTTAAGGTTAAGGAATTTATGTTGACTAATGCCTGTGTATGTTTATTCACCTTCACATTCTAGTAAAACACACAACTGTTTCCCATAATCACTGTGCTGACGTTGGTCTCATTTGTAGGTGCAAAATTTCCAATCAAGTGGACGGCTCCAGAAGCCATAAATTATGGCACGTTCAGTATTAAGTCAGATGTTTGGTCTTTTGGAATACTTCTGACAGAAATAGTCACATATGGAAGAATCCCATATCCAGGTAAACATACATGGATGTATGTAGAGGCTGTACAGTGTGTTTGATTGTCTTTATCGTTGTGTGTTTGTGCTCAGGAATGACCAACCCGGAGGTGGTCAAGATGCTGGAGCAGTTGTACCGGATGCCGTGTCCTGAGGGCTGTCCTGCAGAACTCTATGACATCATGATGATGTGCTGGAAAGAGGAGGCCGTCGAAAGGCCCACGTTTGAGTTTTTACAAAACACTCTCAACGACTTCCTCATTGCCACAGAAGGACAGTACGAGTTAGATCCTTAACCACAGCATGGCCTGGTTGAGAACAAACAATATACATTTCAAAATTTGTAAATGATTATCATTTGTGAAGACACTTTCTGGACACACTGGACCCATTATGTCAATGGAGTTATCCCTGCAAAGAAATAGTTATTTTAATTCAATTGTCAGGAGCTATAATGGAACACGTGTTATTAATACTAAGGAAACCCTTTCAATGATTTTTGTCAGAACAGTTGTATGGCCCACAGAGGTAAATGTAAATGAAAAGGGACTCCCAGCTGCAGGCAACAGGAAGTGCTAAAGCGTCAGACAGTGGGCCCTCTCCCTGGAGGCAGACATGAAGATAACAGTGGAATGGCCCCATGGGCTCGGGTTAAACAGCCATTTCCTGATGCCAAGAAAACAGGAAGTGCATCAGCGTTTTTCAGATGCCAATTTCGAGGAGACTGTGGTGGTCCTATCACTTCTGAACATAATATCCAGTGTTAATTTAAAGTGAAATGAATGATTGCCTAAGGTTTGGCTTTCTTGTAAATGAGATTTCCGAACACAGTGATGAAACCTCTGCTGACAAAAGAGTGCTTCCAAATTTAAGTTTAAATTCCCTTATCACTACCAAAATCCGTTTACTGTTAATACTATCACAGGAATATAATGTTATGCCGATATGTAATCATGCATCAATTTTATATAGCGATAAATTACTACTGTAGCCACAGCTGCCCTGGTGCACACTGACAGAAGCGAGTGCCATCGACCCTGCTGACCACCACCAGCCATTCACACACACACCAGACTCATTCTAGGCAATGTTGGTGAAGTGTCTTGCCTCAGGACAACACAAGTTTAGCACTTTACAGTCGCAGCCGCCCCACTGTGGCACCTGGTGTTCCCAGAGGTCTCCCATCACAGTACTAACCTGGCAATGCCTTGCACAGCTACAGAGGTCTGTAATTTGTTTTACGCAATAAAGAAAATTAAATATTAGAAAATGCCAAAAAATAGAACCAAAAAATATAAAACATGAATATAAGAATTTAGCCAAAGACAACTAAGTACCGGCCTAAACCCAGGTCTAATGATTGTTTACAAAGCCATTTCTCGCAGAAATACACTGCCGATGTTTCACCCAAATAAGCATGTGACATGAAACCACAAGCTGTACAAGCGTTTTTCTGTATACATTGTGTGCTGTGTTTTATGCATGTGTTTAATAATCATTGTATTCTGTTTTGCATTCAATCAAAATCAATAGAATATTTAAATTTGTCATGTGATCTATGGACTGATTCAACAATGTCTCAATGTCTTAAACACTTTATGACGTAAATAGAGAACCAAAAGTATTTCAGAGATGACTAATTTTAATACATTTGAGGACAAATCTGTAAAAATGATATGTGTATGTGTACTGTATGTGTTACAATACAAATTAAAGCCGCAAGCGGCGTCGAACGGCCCTCGCCGCACCGCACCACGCCACATTGTGCCGCACCACGCCTCCCTGCACCAAGCCGCCCCGCACCATGCCGCCTCTCACCACGCAGCCGCGCACAATGCCGCCTCACACAATGCCGCCCTGCACCAAGCCGCACCGCACCAAGCGGATCTGCACCACACCGCCCCGCACCAAGCCGCAACGCGCCGCTCCACAACCCCCCGCACTACGCCGCACCACACCGTACCACGCAGCACCGTGCAAAGGAGGTGGGGCCGCCGTGTGATGATTTGTTGCTGTTGCCATAGAAGAAGTTAGTCAAATTGTAATGAATATGATGATTAGAGCTGTTTGGCACCCCATATAAAACTTTGCCTCAATCTGTAGGGGGCGCTATTGGGCCAATTTCAAATATTTCACTTTCACCTGACCTAAACCCTGGAGTTGAACATTGGATTCAAGTTTTGTGCAAATCAGACTTTGTTTGTGCAAACGGGACCAAAATTAATGTTGTGAAAAACGGTCAAAAAACAATCACATTTTGCTTCTCCGCTGCTCAAACAACGTTTCACTGATCAAAAATCCCTTTGGTCATTTTGAAGTTACATGTGTTGAGATGATCTGGAGCGTTTTTGAGGCAAATCGGTGAAACGGCCGAGGAGGAGTTGCTTTCCAACCGACATGTATGAAAATGATTGCGAATCATTTTTCCATTTTGCAGTGAAATCTATGGGCCTCCTGTTTGTCAGAGGGCGGAGCCATGACAACATTTTGTTTGTATCTTGACTTGAGGAACATGTGTACCGAATTTCATGGCTCTACGACAAACTTGACAAACTCCCATTGGCTGTTGTAGGTGGCGCTGTTCTGGCATTTTTTGAGTCCCATAAAAATAAACACCAAAATATCAAATTTTTCACCAGGTCTGATGTTTGGGCAAAATTTTACAACTTTTCATGCATGTTCAGGGGGTGAAATTAAGGCTCAAAGTGCAGAATTTGACATCTCTCGAGCAAAAACAATAGGCCCTTTCCCCGTTCGGGGCTCGGGCCTTAATATAATCCCTAAAACCGCTTACACTGATCAAAACATTGATCAACAGCCCTGCCCATAAACTGCTAGAATACATAGAAAACACGGTTCTAGCATAGACTGAAACTGATAACAGGCCGTTCTTCTGCAGGGACTCTGAAGTCCTCAGAGGACCCCAGACACCACTTTGGGAATCTTTGGTCTTTACGGCGGACAGCTTTTCCAATAATGGCATGAGATAAGTGAACAGAAGTGTGACATTTGGCTCGCTGCAGTCTTCTCTGATGACTGCGGGTGACATCATGAGCATCGTGAGGATTACCTGTATCTGCAGGAGCAGAAGAAACACACTTTCATCTTCATGATGCGGCTGCTTCCAATGACTTTGGACAACATATTATTCTCATGAACATGAGTTTTTCCCTCCAGAGCTTTGATGTCTTTATGTAATGGGCTCCATACATCAAACGCTAGAATCAAAACAAGAGGATTCCACATTTAGCTGACGGGTCTAGTATGTCCGCAGCTACATTAGTGCCGTACAATTAGCTTTAAAACAAGGTACAGCATGACTATAATGGTGGAGCTGAAGTTGGCTGGGTGACACTGTGAAAGTACCTAAAGGGGGAGACACATCAAGCCGCATTTGGCCCGTGGGCCTGTTTGGACATGCCTGCTCAACAGTCAGTGTATGGTTTACAAAGTGTCATAAACCAGAGCCACTTTAGTTCAGATAAGATTTAGCCACTGACCTACATTATATTTCATCTTTACAGGGATTTCTACTCTTGACATTTATTTGAGCACATTAATCCGTGTCTGGTTCTCAGCAGTCAATCATTGCTTTGGAACAGCTGCAGAAAATGCACAAATGAAAAATGGCACTAGGTAAAATGTTGGTCATGTAGGCCTAATCTTCATATCAAACAAAATGATCAGTTGTTATTGTAAAGAAAAATAAATATAGTTCTAAATATTTATCAGGTCAAATGTTTATACTCAAAACTACTCACATTGTCAGTTTTCTCACCTGAAGCCATGAGTCCTCACAGACTGACGCCGCCTTTACTAATGAAATTGTATGAATGACACAGTATAAACATGCTTGTGAAGTGTTTTATGAGTCTCTCTGTTTCCTCAGGCAGGACTGGGACCAAAACCATCTGTTAAAGTGAAAACCCAACACATTTAGCGAGGGGAAACCCGGGAGCCGTGAGATTGCCGGAGCCGCAACACCTCCAAACAAATCTTGTCATGGACCCCCTGCTCAGTGATGATTCAAGGGCAAATGTAGTAATTGGCAGAAATGCAGTCTAAACTCACAGATACTGCCGGCAATTCATGTCTGTTATCCAATGTTCTGCCGGAGATAAGTTGTGTGATTTTAATTGGAAAGCTGTTTTCTGAGGACACCCGCTGTAATAACTATAATGGTCTTACGTAACACCTGATCATTTGTGTCACACAGCTTTAGTTAGCCCCCCATACTGCCCTGATCAGTATTCTACTCCACACGCCTCCCCATTCAAAGATCCACCATAGTCACGTCTCTATTGGCGTCTTGTTTGTGTAGAAAATGTCAGCGTAAATATTCATCCCTTTGCCTCTGACCTTGGAAGGCCGTCTCTCTTTTGCATCATTCTTTTGTTATGTTGATTTTTTTTCTAAGAATAAAAATAGCAGCCAGAATATACTTAACATGTTCTCAAGCCCAGATTAAAGTTTGTGATTAACATGAAGAAGGAAAACTCTAAACGTAATTGAAATGCTGACGGTTTGGACCTGGTTAATATTCTAATTGGAGAAATCATGCTGTTGGTAAATTACTGGGCCGAGTGAGGCTCTAAAGTGTATACTGCTATTGTGTCCTTTGGCAAGACATTTGAATTACATTTTCGTAAGAATCTGGTGTGTGAATGGTTGGTCGGTGCAGGTTGGCAGCCTTGCTTGTGTCAGTCTGCTCCAGGGCAGGTGTGGCCATAGTCACAGTGTACCACCAACATGTGTGGAAAGAATGAAAAATGCTCTTTCAATCAAACAATCAATCAATACATTACTTTGGGTGTTATAATCATTATCATCAATATTCATTATAACTAATATATATTTTCTTATATTGGTTCAATTTTAGGTCATTGAAGATTATAGAATAAATTGTTCATTAGTGATGGCTTTTTATTATCTCCAACCACTTGAGGAGCTTTAAATCTCTCAGCCACTTTAGTCTCTCTGTATATTGCTCCACTCGCACTAAACACTAAGCAATTAACTTCGCTAAAGCTCCCAAGTTGAGGAAAAAACCTTGACCATTTGGGATATTTAAAATCAAATTAATCAGACATAAATGCTTTAAGTAAAGTGTGGGATGAATTAGCTGAAAAGTTTCCTAAAAAGTGACCTTGCACGCTCTTAAAGGTCCTTCTTTAATTTATTCATTAAAAATGCAGCATTTCAGAAGTACCGGCAGATTTGATTAGTGGCTCTTTCCCATAAGGGCACAGAACATGGAGACTCACTTTACATCGCATTAAAAATACATAGATAGATCATGCTCGGTGCTGAACCAACGCCATACAGCATCTTTTTATCCAACAACCACAACCTTACAGTGTTAGAAAGTTTGAAAATAACTTGAATATGGAATGACAGAAGGTGCTCATAAACATTGAAGTAATCTGTGCGTTTTTGTAAATCATTGTTCAATATAAAATTAATGATCATGGTTTTTTACAGTCACATCAACAGTAAAGTGAGAGAAGGGAGAGGTTATTTCCTCAACTCACGAACAAATAAAGCATCAGAGCACAGACCGTCAAAGTTATTTTGTAGTCACAGTTAAATTGTAGACAATAGAGTGACAGTAAATATGTCTGTACACATTTTCCAACAGCACTGTAACCTTCAATCACTGTTATTGTATTGTTTCATTTTCTGAAAGACAAGGTTTGGCAACTTTATGCTGCAAGGACATTACAACGTTGCGCAACATTTCTTTCAATTGTTGTATTGCAATGAATTTTGAAATAGTTCTCGCCTTGACCTTTGTCGTTCTTTTCTTGTTGTATCTAAACTAGAGATAAGTGTTGTTGTGAGTTTGGATAGAAGCTGAGTTTGACATTTCCATTCACAAAATCCAGCGAGTGCGGACTGTGATAATGTCATGGAAACTGAGCGACCACTTACGTTTGCCAATAGCCTTGAAGAGTGCATAAATCCATGATGATTATTACATTTTGGACTTTTCCTAGTTTGAAGCGCTTAATGGAATCAATATCTGGATAAAGTTGTGGATAAAAGGAGCATGTTACTATGCAGCAGTGCAGATTATGATGTCAAACCCCGGAGTGTGTACAAGTGTGGCCGCAGTCACATTCGTCCACAATAGGAGAGGTACCAGAAGCAGCACACAGAGTTTATCAACGAGATTCATCTTTATGATAACAGAGGTGCCCTCTGGTCTACAGTATGTGTCTGCCATATTTTACTCCAGCAGTCTCCCATCACAAGAACACACCAGGCCCGACTTGCATACCTTATGAAGACCCATCTAAAAGGTTTACAATAGTATTCGATTGCAGTCAAACAGTCAAAAGCTGCAGGATTCCGCAGAGACTGTGCTTGTATTATATATATATTTGAATGTATGTAAACTGGTTTGAAATAAATCAACCCAATCAATACATAATGATAACAATAATAAATATCATCAATAATGTTTGTGCAACTTTCTGCTGCTGCAACCAAATTGCTCCTCTGGGATAATACAGATACCTTAAACCTTGACAATAACAATAATAATAACAACAACAGTTCCTCTGCTTATTTATACTTTTGTTCATTTATATTGTAGAAGATTACAGCCAAAGCTAGATTGGAGTAGACAAACATAGGCTTTGTGGAGAAACAAATCTGCTCACAATTAGGAATTATGTCTTCACTTTTTAATGGCATAAACACAATCAACGTTTTTTTTACGATTCTACGCTTAAAAGATACAGACTGGGGCTTTATAATTATTGTATCATTTCTAAAGGCCTTTATTGCGTATGTTTGCTTTGCATTGAAGACGCAAAGCGGGATAATGCATCAGGTTGCAGAGTATATAAACAGTGGTCACAAAAGCCTGGCTAAAACATCCCTAAAATAGTATTACAGAGTTAAATATAGAGAGAGAAGGCTGGTTGTGATGACACGTGGGTGATCCATCATGTCGGATATATGCAAATCAGTCCGGAGCTGACGCGCGATTGGCGGAGTGTTGTGCGCATCGGTTTGCCCTCAATGAAACTGCACTGTCTGAAGTTAGAGGCGCTGTCCATGGTGCCGAGAGCCTCTCCAGCAACAACTCACTGCAGAAGACGCCTTTATTTTTATTTACAACCATCTGCAGAGTATTTAGAACAGAGCATGGAGACATATACTTAGGCTACGTCACTCTCTGAAACCCAAGGTATGAAACGACTTGTGGAATCCAAGTGAAAATGAAGATGTCTCGCCCATTACGCACCCCGTTTATTGACCCGTATTGACCAGAGACCTCGAACCGATGCTGTTACGGTGAACTAAGGACATTTAGCCTGTCTTCAAGCGTGAGAATCGTTTGTGAACTTGTAGATAATCGCTATAACCTCGCTGCGTTTGCTGCCGCTGCCGGAGACATGGCTCGTCTTTTTGTTTGGATCAACTCTACGATCCTGTTGCTTTTTGGCACGGATGTCTTCTTGGTGGGAGCAAGTAAGTGAATGTTTATACAAGAATACAAGCGTTACATCCAGAAAAGTGCATACCAATACTAAGAGATAAATGTTGTATGCTCTGCCCCTGCATTATATAGTAAAGGTCTTTTTTTGCATGTGAAATACAGTGTATGTGTATATATGCAATTACACAAAACTCACTTTGGCACCTATTTATAAGCACCTAGTTCTTAAATCCTGCTGCTCTGTTAGACCCGCTATGCCATACTAAGGCAATTTGAAAGCCATCAAATTTTCCACATTGCATGTGCCACCAGTTGCAAAAATATAGGGTACTTAAATTAAGCAACCTCAGGAATGTGCAACTGGAATCAAAGCTTTCTCATTTCCATTTCTCTTTATTCTGAATATTAGCATCTCCTTCCCACCTCTATTCAGTGAATTCTCAGGGGGAGAGAAGCTGTGATCTTGCCTCCGCTGTCTGCCTGTCAGTCTTGGTTCAAGGCTTTTGAAAGGTTTTGTGCTTGAATAAAGGTCTCTAGGTCTCAGCAGAGGTCTGTATGAAGCTGGCAGTAGCAAGAGGGAAAAGAGCTTTCAAATAAATTCTAAACACAGTTATCTATAAATAAGACTTCGTGTGTGCTGGTCTGAGTACATACAGTATGTAGACTGGAGTGCTTTGGAATGCACAATGTGAGTGGTCTGACAGCCATTTTTGATGTATTGGTTTATGTTAGAATTGTAAAAAGATGAATTCTCTAAAAGGCTATTTTATTTCAAATTCTACACACACTCCTAACTTACACAAATTAGTAATGTTTGGAGATGTTTTGTTAATAGAGTTAGGGTTAAGGTTAATGTAAGCGATCAGCCGAAAGCCTTTCGGTCTTTGAATTGTTTATGTGAATTTGAACAACTTTTTGATTGACTGGAGAAAAAATAACTTACATTGTCCCTACATTTTTCTCAATATAAAATGTATCTCAGTGTATGGGACCCCAATAATAAGTTGTGTATAGCTGTATAAAGTGTCATTTTTTTTCACAGAGCTATATGAAAAAATAGCAAACTGTGATGCTGTGAAAAAATGTAATTCAATGGATGTATGAAAGAAAATAATGCACGTTTACAATAACAGTTAAAGCAATGGTTATTGAATAAATGCCAAGATACATATAGAAGATACATATATTGATCAGAAAATACTGATAGTTTGTGATGACAGGAAACAGAGTTGCTCTTTGGATGTATAAACTTAGCCCATGTCTCAACAAAATATTTTATGGCAGTATGGAGTATAGCAACAATATGTATGATGGGAAAACAGTTTGTGGGAGCAAGGAAAAGTAACCCATTGGCTATGAAATAAATCATTTTGGTATAAGTTAGGTCTTGGTTAAGAAATCATTTTAAGGCAGCATAGAGGCAGAACACTTCTCCTTAGCACCTCCCTCCTGTCTGCAGCCCAGTCACACAAGATTTATTGCACTTGACTTGAGTGACAAATGTGATGCCCGTGTTTATATCTGCATAGCTAGATGAGACAATCATGCTTGAAAATTAATCTCAAGATGTGTCTCAGCTGTTAAACAAACAGGGATTAAAATGATATTGGGTTTGTTGGAATGGCTGGGCTCTTGTCAAATTGGCAATCTATGTTGGTAAATCTGGTGACACACTGTGGATAAATAGAGTTATGGTATTAGAGCTGCAAGACGTGTTTACTGCCTCCTGTCTCATAAGGCACTGTCTATTTCAATCATTTCCTGTCATTCTGAATGTCTTTGTATCTGCAGACTTGTTTGGACGTTGGATCAATGACTTTAACCTTGAGCATGTTGTTATGTAACTGTTCTTTTAGATATGTCTTGATGATATAATCCACAAGTGTTCGTTAGCCTGGGGTCTTTGTCACTGATCATATTAGTTTGATGCAGTTCACACCTGACGCCACCACCGTCTCTGGCTGCAGAGACATGAGAGCATAGAGTCACTACTCCAACAGGGACAGACGCACAAAAAACACAGAGCTCCATGCAAGGATGCTCATGTTTTCTACTTCTGGAATACATTTTTATGTGGAAGCTCTTGTTTAAAAGCCTAGAAGTTGCCAGAGTAGACATTCTAAAGAAAATAATATGTCTTTGATCATATATAATGCATAGTATATTATAGTGCTTTTCATGATACCCAAAGGCGCTGTATTCATTCACTCTAATGCTGTAGCCGCAGTTGCCCTGGGGCAGACTGATGGAAGCAAATCATATGTGCCATTGGCCCCTCCAACTATCACCAATCATTCACGCACTATTCTCGTACTGTTATTTCAACCATAGCCCATAGAAGGAGAGAACTAATGAATGTGGAAGAACCTTGGAGCTCGCTCAGACAGGCTTCATTGGTGAGAACATGGAGCCAAATTAATCAAGTATCAATGGCCCATAGCAACCAGCCAGGGCCAATCGTGAGTGGCGCTGGTCCGTTTCCTTTCACGTGATAAAGCTGATCACTGGAACAGAAAGGAACAAAAATTGTGTCAAATTGTTTTATTCTGAGCTTAATTTTAACAGCATGCAGACACAAGCTTAAAAGTGTTTTTTTTTTATAGTTCTCCCCTGAGTCTAAAGCAGTGATGGGCAATCACGGTGGGTAGATGTGGCCCTTTGGACGTTTCGATCAGGCCCCTGAGCCCTCCAGAGTTTATATAGATATAGTAAAAAGACTATGAAATCCCACTCTGCAGAGTTCAGAGTGTTCAGAGTTCTGGAGCCGCAGTCGCACCCCTAGCTCTGCTGCAATATATAATATTTTATGTTGTATTCACATGCAAAAAATTAGGCAAAAAACCCCCCAAATGCTGACATTCTAATGTGGCCTTCAGGAGGACAAGTCTGTCCATGCCTGGTCTAAAGTCTGGACTAAGGCCTTAAGGACTAAGGACTAAGGTCAAGTCCCCAAATCCTTATTCATGAAACATTACTGTAGAGGACTAAATCACAACTAAATCTAAAATCAAAATCATTTCCGAGCATACACATGTTTAACTAATTCTACCTATTCATTATTTGAATAAAAAACAACAGGCAAGGTTTAATTCATTTACTAGTGATAAATGGCACATTTAAAACTGTCCTTGCTTCACCTGTGGAGAACATTTATTTTATTTATTTATTTCATTGAATAATTAAACTGTCAACTCTAACAATATTTGTAACTGACCCCATGCCTGGTGATTATGGACCATGCAACGGCTTGTGATAGTGAGGTATAGAGTTGTCTATTTTTATATCACTAACATTGAGTTTGTAAAGTTTTTAAGTCGGGTTAGATTCCCAGAGATGTGAGGGTTGGACTGAGGAGTAACCCTTGAAAGTTGTTGTAAGTTGAACAGATGGCTTTAAACATGTTGCAGGGGTGAAGATGAGACTGCTGCTGTTGTATCTGAGCTGGAGAAGGAAATTTGCAGCTGCACGTCGGTCTCCTGCTGATTTGTGAGACTTCCGAGAGCTGACTTGAAAACACATCTACAGTACAAGCTGTTGGAACAATACAAGTGTCAGAATCTGAAGCTGCTCAAAATGATTGCCCTCGTTATACATCCTACCATAGAGTGGAGCATACTGTATGTGCAGCCAACTTCTTCAGCAGCCTTCCAATTCTCACAAGTGCGTTGGTAGTTCTGATTCAAGTCTGCATTAAAAGCAGCATGAATAACCATGATTAATTATTGTTGCTGGTGGCTGTGTCTATCGCTAAGACATTACAGACATAAATTGCTTCTTTCTATGATGGAGAGGGTTGATATTTGATGCTACCGTTTGGGAAAAGCTCTTATTTCTATATTGCAAAACCAATATCCACAGAGAAAGTGTCTGTAACGTGTGTTCAAATCCTATCTTTTTCAATTCTCACTATTTCAGTATCTTTGTACAATTCTGCTAGATGAGGTATTTCAAATTAGGAGTGTGGCTGCATCCCAAAAGGGTTGTACCATTTATTATCGCTGACCCACGAGTGGACTACAGTGACCTGCCGCTGTCTGATGTTTTGCTTCATAGCGCGGGTCGGCTGACTTTTATTTAAAACACTGGGATTCAGTTTAATCATGGACAAAACCGCACTCAGTTGTAGCAAAAAGTTTTCGGACAGTATGTAATATGCACTCCTAGTGGTCTAATATAGTCATTACAATTACAATCACACTTTTGATGCCAGAATCTTCCTGTGACAAATGCAGCTCTAGGGAGAACATGCAAATTCCACACATAAAGGCCCATCTGGAGGTGACACCCAAACCTAGGACCTTCTTGTTATGAGGCACAAGTTCTAACCACTGTGCCATTGTACCATTAGGGTTAGGATGAATTCATTTTCATTGTGCATTTCAATTTGGAGAGACGAGAAAACAGGAAGTTTTGAGTATTTTATTGGGAGGAGGTTTGGCGCCCTAGGCCCCGGTGCGGCCTTCAGATCGGAAAGGCTCCTGCGCTGGAGCGCGCACAATCCCCCGGGACCTAGGCACTGGTGGCGGCATTTGGCAGCAGGAAGCAGATTGGAGGCAGATTGGAGGCAGGGTGAAGAGGAGGAGGAGGGGAGGCGGTGGTTGCGAGGCTTCAGGAGGCAGAGAGTGGTAGTTTTTCCGTTTTTATGCGGCTGGCGTAGTTGGTACGATGATTGGAAGGGGGCGTCTGCTGAGCGATAGGCTGGGATGCGAGCCGGCCTGGAGGGGGTAAATTTGGTTAACGTCTACCAAATTGAACTTTCGCTGGCTGCATTTCAATTTGGAGAGACGAGAAAACAGGAAGTTTTGAGTATTTTATTGGGAGGAGGTTTGGCGCCCTAGGCCCCGGTGCGGCCTTCAGATCGGAAAGGCTCCTGCGCTGGAGCGCGCACAATCCCCAAAAAGGCTGCGTGTTGATGGAGTTTTCGAAGCCTGGTTTGGAGGGGACAGACGTCGTGACTGCTCTATTCTGTGACCGCTATCGCTAAGCTGTGACCGCTATCGCTATGCTGTGACCGCTATCGCTATGCTGTGAC